GTCATCAGTTTCCCTAGAAAACGAAGTTGTATGATTGATGGCTTTGGAAAAGGTAAGTTTAGTGTTAAGAAGTGTTTCCCTGAGGCCAGTTAATGGAAGTTTCCTGTTCAGGAGAAAGACAGCTGAACAAAAAGGTAGGTAGGTGAGCAAAAATTCCATTATGCTTCTTTCTGTTTTTTGACTATGGGATATTTTGGGCCAGTTTCGGAGAATGACCTTCATCCAGCAAAGGCTAATAAGGATGCAGCTTTCTTTAGCAGTTTGCAGTAGGGAAATGCAATATGGTTTCAAACCCTTGTGTTTTGATTCAAACCACCCACATCACTGTTTAAAGTCTGCAAGAGAAAACAGATTATTAACTGAAGATGGTAATCTCTTTTAAGGGAAAAAACCCACTTTACCAGCCTCTGAAACAACTGTTACTCTGATAAAATTTTTGTTTTAAAAATGCCTTCATTTGGAAATAATTACAAAGTTACAGAAAGAACTTTCTCTGAATGATGAGATTAACTGATGGTCAGATGTCTACTTACTCCAATTGCATTAGTGTATATGTATTTATTTACAAACAAGAGCATTTTCTTAACATCAAAATCAGGAAATCAACTTTAATACACCAGTGAGGTCTAAATCCACTCAAATTTATTCAGTTGGGCTACAGTGGATTTGACAGGACAAGGCCCCAGGTGAAGGCTTTGTGGAATGTTTTATTGTTATGTCTTTTTAGGGTCCTCTTGTTTGGACAGCCTGTCAGTCTTTCCTTGATCTTCACAACCTTCTTCCTTCTGGAGATCATGCTTCAATTATTATGGGGTATGTCTTCATTTGAGTTTGTGTGATGTTTCCTCATGATTAGATTCAGGTCATTTGTTTTTTGAGCTGCTACTATTCTGTAATGATCATCTATTCTGCACGGATAGTGTTCATTTGATGAAATGGTATATTCTAGACTTATTAAGTATGTTGGAAGCTAGGCATCCTTTTCCTCATCAAACTTCCAATTGATCTGTTTGGTGTACCTCTATCTCTTCCAACTGTTGGCTTCCTATTTTATCAAGTCATAGTCTCTTCCTGCTGTTCTCAATGTATTTACTCAACAGATCCATTCCCAGGTAAGAAGCCAATGTCCGGGTTAGCTGTTACATCTTCTCTAAGATGGTTTTGGTAAGGGGCCTCAAATCTGATTTCCTAGCCTGGATTCTCCCCTCTCTTGCCCTTCTTACCCAATTCAGATAGCCTCTGACATGCCATCTTATTCTGGGGAACATACCCTGGCCTGGATTTTCTCTCTATCCTGTTTAAACTCTGGCATCCAAATGTAGACCAGTGCCTGCTCTCAGTTCTGAGTACGCAGATGCTTTTCTTTGCCTGACATGATGGTTTCAGGAGGGACTCATTCAGAAAGAGAAGGGGAGAGAATGAAGAGTAGAAAGGGAAGAAGGAAAAGAATGAACATTTGTGAAAGACACAGTAAACAGATTGGAAAATGATATATTTTTTTAATAATAATCAGATCAGCCGCTTAAAAGGGAATGATAGACTATAAACACCACTTTTGTTTTTTATCAAAAATAGATTTTTTCTTATATTTTTGGTTGTGAAACTAGCCTTTAGAAGGGAGGGAGAAGGGAACTGGGATCGTCATGTAATTCAATCTTGTTTGTAATTCAAATATATAAAAAAATAAAAAAATAGATTTTTTCATACACTATATTCTGATTATGGTTTCCCTTCCCCCAAACTCCTCCCAGACCCTCCCCACCTCCCTACCCACTCAAATCCACACCTTCTCTTGATCTCTCTCATTAGAAATCAAGAAAGCATTTAAAATAAATGAATAAATAAATAAGATAAAATAAAAACAAACAAGCCAGAATATGACTAAACAAACAGAGAGAATGGGGGGGTGGCTAAAGAAAACGCACAAGGCATACACACTGCAGAACACATAATTCACACACACACAGAAATTCCATAAAAACACAAAAGTAGAAACCATATTTTTTCCTTTTTTAAAAAATTTAAGGCTGGGCGTTGGTGGCGCACGCCTTTAATCCCAGCACTCAGGAGGCAGAGGCAGGCGGATCTCTGTGAGTGCGAGGCCAGCCTGGTCTCCAGAGCGAGTGCCAGGATAGGCTCCAAAGCTACACAGAGAAACCCTGTTTCGGAAAACAAAACAAAACAAAAAAAATTAAACTAGAAAGAAGCTTCTTTTACATGTCAATCTCAGTTCCCTCTGCCTCCCCTCCTCCTCTGCCCCCCACAGTCCCCCTATCCCAAGCCCTTTCTGCTCACCAGGGAGGGTGAGGTCTTCCATTGGGGAATCTTCAAAGTCTGTCATATCGTTTGGAGCAGGGCCTAAGGCCCTCTCCAGTGTGTCTCGGCTGAGAGAGTATCACTCTATGTGGATTAGGCTCCCCAAGTCCATTCCTACACTAGGGATAAATACTGATCCACTACCAGAAGCCCCATAGATTGCCCAGTCCTCCAAACTGACATCCTCATTCAGGGGGTCTGGAACAGTCCTATGCTGGTTTCCCAGCAGAAACCATGTTATATAAGCAAAAATGCTTAAAAAGTGTGTAGAACTTTCTGGAGGTATCCTTTTAACCTCCATCTTCCTTTTGATTTCTAGAATGTAAGTGTGATGGTTGAGTGGTCACTATCACCTTGACCCAGGAGGACAAGTGTTTAGTCAAAGTCTGATAGAACAATAGCTACAATGAGCTCAGACCCTGGGCACTGCAGGAACCCGCCCTCTGAGCTTTGGACTACCTTCCCCAGGATGGGTGAGGAATACCGGTGAGGAATAAAACCTCTGTGTTTCATTTATGGTTAATTTTGTTTTTTATTAACTTCTTGGGAACTCAGCTCTGAGTGCCAGTCCTACATCAATCAATGGCAAGAGGAACTGTTACCTCCTGGCTGGTGCAAATGGGCTTTAGAAAGTCATAGTGACCACCATGGTAAATATTTACCTCTTAAACATATTTTCTATTCCTATTAAGAGTGAATTGCAGTTGGGCATGGTGGCATACAACTTTTATCCCAGCACTCATGAAACAGAAACAGGCAGATCTCTGTGAGTTAGAGGCCAGCCTGGTCTATAGAGCAAGTTCTAGGACAGCAAAGGCTATCCACAGAAATCATCTCAGGAAAAAAAAAAGTAAATTTTATTAAGAAAGCAACATTCTTAATACCTACATAGGAAACCACCTCATTGTAAAGGACTATTGTATTTTCGGTTCAGACCTTAATTATTTCCTAGGCAGTGAAGACAAATTTTGTCATGTACTATTTAGAATCTAATGTTTTTAAATGACTTTTATGAATTTCAAGAAGTTCTTGACCATCCTTTCAAAGGCATCATTCCCCAAATGAAAAGTTTGTTGTTGGTTTATTCATATATATTTAATTCAGTACGCATGAGATTATTTGAAATATGTTTCTTTAGACCTATCCTTAAAGAAAACTGGCTCTCTCTTCCTCAGAAGTCATCAACTGTCAAGAGTTCATGTTCCCTTCCCACTTCTGTGCTGGCAATGTTGACTGGCTGATCTTTTAGAGGTCTTGTGCAGCCAACCAGTGCTGCTGTGAGGACAGCAGTCATGCATGACTAGAAGATACTGTTCAGGTTCAGCCCTTCTGACCTCTGGTTCTTACAATCTTTCCTCAATCGTCCTTAAGCCTTGGGGGAAAAGGATGTGATTGGGTTCCAAGGCTTGGGGAAAACATCTCTGAGCCTTGTCTATCTCCAAGCCAGAAAACACCCAGCACTCTAAGACAGATCCTCAGTGTAATTCTGGTACCTATACTTGTGAAATCCCAACATTGAAACCTAAGTGAAAAAAGCATTCTTTAACTTATTAATACAACCATTCATTCTTCAGGTGCCCTCTTCAGCCATTTGATGGGGCAGAGGAGGCATCTCCAAGACTCAAAACTAAATTTTACTATCTCAGAAGTCTACCTTAGGTGCAAATGTATGTGTTAGCAATGACACTCTATGGTCAGGAAGGTCACTGCAGTGTGAGGAGGAGGCTCCGTGGAGCAAGGGCTGGGTGCACCTGGGAATTGTTTTAGGTGAAAGGAGAGTGGGAACAACCGAAAGGGGTCTGGGAACTAGATCAGTCAGGAGTTCAAGTTCTAAGTAGAAAGGGCTCAGGGTTGGGCAAAGACTAGGCAGTTTTCTTTGTTTGTTTGTTTGTTTGTTTGTTTTTGTTTTTGTTTTTTTCTAGGGCCGTAAGTTACCTTGAGATATGAGCTAGCTAGGTGTTTGTTTTTTGACACCAAGTCTCACTCTCTAGCTCAGGCTCACTGTGACCTCCAAGCTATTCTCCTGCCTCAGCCTCTCAAGTTGGAGGATTATAAGAATGGGACACTGTGTACGACAAGGCCATTTCACTTTTAGCAACAGTAATTAATAACCAGGCGTTGATGTACAGGGCGGATGACATGTCATAGGTCCAACCGCGGTGAATTCTTTGAGCAGAGTCATCCCAGAGTGCTGGATTCTGAAAACACTGAATTTACTTGTAGAAGAATACATGAGGTTGGGAGGGAACCCTGGAAGAATGAAAGTGCCCACAAATCTCTTCAGTGGCCATTCCAAGACAACCAGCTTCCTCAAGCCAGTTGCAGGGACCGAAAGTCAAAGTACCCAGGTTGGTAAGATAACCCTCCTTGAAGTCTCTTAACACAGTTTACATGCTCCCTGCTGCTCTTGATTGCCTAAACACTGCGGCTAAAACGGCTAAAACGCCACAGCCAGCTCAGCAGAATGGGCCCAAGACACCAGCTGCTTTTGTGGTAACCTTGAATCTCCTGCAGTGACCCAGCCCTAGCTGAGTGGTAGAAACGACCTGAGGCTAGAGAAGAAAGCCTGACCGGTGCTGATTTTCGGTCAGGAAGCCACGGGCTAAGCCACCGGGTCGTCGGGTCCTCCCTGGCACAGGCTGCGGCCTGGAAGGGGCGGTGCTGGGGAATCTCCGGGCTGGACCGCCCAGAACCGAAAGCAGCTGCGGGAAGCGGGGAGGAAGGAGAGGCGGCTGCAGGGCTGGGAGGTGAGAGCCCGGCCCGGAATGTCCGCCCGGCCGCTGCGTGCGGGCCATGGCTCTGCGGCTGGTCGCCCACTTCGACGTGCGGGCGGACGTGCTCCCGAGTCTGGTGGCCCAGGCGGCGACAGCGGCCGAAGCAGGAGACACAGGTGCGGGACGCTTGCCCTGAAGCGGGCGGGCGAGCCGGGCGCCGGGCATCCGCCGGAGGTTTCGGGGCTCTGTGGAGTGGGCACTGTCCCCACGGGAACACACGGGGCTGCCCCGCCAAGACGGGCGGTACCCGAGGCGGGAGGCCGCGGGATGGTTCGGCCGCGGGATGGTTCGCCCTCGCCTGACCCCAGGGCTCAGCTAGGATCAGGAGCGCCTGGAAGTGTAGAGTGACCCAGTGTGGTGGTCGAGAAAAGGACTTTTTAAAAGGGTCTTAGCAATCACATCGCTCGTCCCAGCGAGGATGCTGAGCGTTTCCAGAGCCAATCTGTTTGTAAGAAGGGCAATTCAGTGGTTTTAACTCGCTTCTTTGTAATGACTTTTGCTGCACATCTGTGGAACAGATTTTGTATTCCCAGACAGCTCTGGTGGCTCAGGGGACATGTCCCTCCAGGTGAGATGCAGAGGCGGCAGGGTGCCCTTTCATGGTGCACGGAGTGAACCGAGCATCTGCAGGGCTCCAAAGGTGTAGTAGCAGCTTTCTCAAGAGCCACCAAGCACACACCCAGCACCAGCCCCACCCCACGCCTGGGCCACAAGCCCCAGGGAGGCAGGGATGCTCAGCTTCTGGATCCAGCCGCCCAGTCAATTGGAGGTCGAGGCTCTTCTGGTGAGGGAGTGGAAAGTAACTTTGTGCATTTCCAGAATTGATGTACCTAAAAGAAGAGAGTCTGTAATTTCTTAGTGTTTCCTTTCTTTTTAAAGGCCGCAAATAAATAAGAATCTTCCGGGCTTCATGACACCTCTGGGTCTCACCTTGTGCTTCGGGGCTCTACATGCCCTACCCGTGTGCTGGCCTTTCTCTCTCTCTTTGGTGTTCCTTAAACAGTGGATTAGAGGGGGTGGAGTTGGGGTTGGGGTTGGATCAAATTACCCATATGCACAATTTCTTTCCTCTGGACTCTGTGGAAGTTATGTCTATGAGATTCCTGTGCTTAGCACAGGAATGTTCGTAGATTCCTTTGTCTCTGCGTACTAACTGCGAGTCACAAACAACTTTATAACTTTGGGAAATGTGTGTAGATTCCTCTCCATACGCTTTGTTAAAGGTTAGCTTTCTAACCCTTATATTATAAGCAAATTCAAGTCTGTTTCCTACCACAAAGATAGTCCCCTCCCAGTCCCCACTTGATTTTGCTAAATGGCAGGTGATTGCAGATTAGAAGCTGGGTAGAATACAGAATGCCACAGTCTTGCGTTGCAGTAGTGTGTGCCCAGCTGGATTCGGCTTCCTTGCATCTTTCACTCATTCGCACTCACTTCCATTCAGTATAAGAATTAAAAAACTGTGTGTTGGTGTTTCAGTAAAAATCTAGCTTTTTTAGCATTGTGATTTGCTGTTTCTCAGAGCGCTGTGGTAATTTATCAGCGCCGTGATTCCCATGGTCTTATTACCTTTGATAAGCATCACTGAGTGGTAGATTAAAACAAACAAGCAAAACCAGGGGCTGGGAGGTGGCTCAGCTGATGAAATGCTTACAGCACAAGCATCAGGACCCACACTTGGGCCCCAGCACCCACAAAAGGGGGGCAGCAATGTGTACTTCCAGTGTTGCTAAGACAGAGGCTTCAGGATCCTGAGGCTTGCTGGTCAGCCAGTCTAGCTAAACTCCTAAAGCTATCAACACAGGCACATGAGAACACACACACACACACACACACATCCCGAAGCCTTTGCAGGAAAATCTGGAATTAGACTTTATAGTTCGGTCATTACTAAATATGCTTATGCAAATTAGTTTTTGAAGTGTCAGCTTATAAAACTTAAATAGGAGTAACACTGACAATGACTAGGTGTCTGCTTCCCACACACTAAACTTTTATATTTGCAGGTCTTACTATCCCCCCAAATTACAGCCATTTATTGATTGTTGTGTATGTGTGTGTGTGTGTCGTGTGCATGCACATGTGTGCTCAAGTATGTGTGTACATGTTTGTGTACATGTGTGAGTATGTGAGCATGTGTTTGTGTACATGTGTGCTTGAGTATGCTTGCATGTGTGTGTGCGCACAAGTGTGCCCCAGTATGTGTGCCTGTGTATATGCACATGTGTGCTTGAGTTTGTGTGTGCATGTGTGTATTTGCACATGTGTGCTCAAGTTTTTGTGTGTGCATGTCACAGCGTGCATGTGTGTGGACATCGGAGGGCAGTTCTCTTCCACCAGGTGAGACCTGGGTTTGGAGCCCAGGCTGTCAGGCACCTCGGCTGCTGAGCATCTCACTGGCCATGTTAATATTTTTGCATCAACAAATTGAAAACTTTTTAGTGACACTAAGTAATTCTTATGACATATCCCTGACAAAACAGCCAGCGAGCTTGGCTACACCCACCAGGGAATGTTGGTGGCCGTAGAATAGCAGTGTAGTCAACAAGGGCTTGAGGGGTAGGAGGCCAGATTCGACTATTGTATCTACTCTTGATTCTGTGTTGAACTTGGGAACATGGTCTGTCCTGAACAAAATGAGAAAATATTCACAAAATTTAGTTACATAAAATACTGTAACTTATGTTACCTCTAAATAGTAATTTTTAAAAAGCCTATGCTCCTACCTTCCAACTACAAAGTGATAATAGCAGAACCTTTGAAGCTTTGTGTATATGCACCCTTATATGATCCTTCATTTTAATCCCCCAGAATTTTAACATTCTTCTCGTTTTATTAATAGCTTAAGGCCATTTTTAAAATCTGAATTTCAAGTAAATGAAAAGCATCCAATGCTTTACTTTAATCTCTTCTCAGTACTGTAAGATTTATTCAGGTCTAGTGGCTACACAGAAATCATTATTTTTCACGGGGTATAGTATTTCATAGTGTGGACTGTTCTTCCAAAGAAGAGCTTTCCTTGGTATTATGAGCATGGTTAGCGCCTTCAGGGATTGTCCCTAGCTTGGTCTCTTCAAGTGCCTGCATCTGGTGAGGCATCACAGCAGGGTATAAAAGGCTTGCCTGTTTTAATTCAACATGAGACTACTCTGGCAATCAGGTTGAGTTCTGGAACCCCACCCTCACCCCTGCCCCGCCCTGTGCAGGCTTCAGCATAATCTGAGGCTATTGGGCCTGCCTGGGTGCTTGACTCCTCCTCCTACTGGGGCTTTCTTCCTTCTGTCTCTTATAGGGGTAATCCCACAGAGCTAAGCATTTATTGGGAAAGTGGTTTACTCTACTCTGTAGAGGCAGGGGTGACACTTGGGAGGTCTCTGAATTGGCCATTCCAATCAGTGTCTTGTATGGCTCTGGCCCTGCTTTAAAGAAGCACAAGTTAAAGTGTTGTCAGGGACCATCTGTGTAATTCTAGAAAGAGCATGAATTGTCTTCCCTGTGCTCACCTCTGCTTGGATTAGCAGAGTTTGTGACACACCGGATTGATCATAAATCTCATACTCTGAATGGAGAGGGATATATTTTGCCAGGCAGCTGACTTGAAAGCCAGCTTTTCTTTATTCCCTCTTGTGTACCATCCTGCAGACTGATCTGGGCATGTGAGGGTGGCCTTAGTCATGTTGTATTCTGTTTCACCAGTCCCTTGCCACTGTTTTCCTTTTCCTCTTCTGTGTCCCTAGCCTTCTTTTTCTAATTCTCAGTTCTCTTTTTATTGATTCCTAATGAATTGCCTCATGCTGGCTCCTTCTCATTTCATATACATTGTATCACTTCATTCCTGATTTGGGACTATAAAATATGGTCATGCTGAGCCCGAGAGACTAGGTGGATTGTGTACAGACTAAGCATTGTCCTATTTCACCACCCTTTGACCTGTGTGTTGGGATCTGGCTCACAGCTTTTTGTAAGACTGTATGACTCCCCTCTCCAAGTTTTGTCATTAGGATGACAAAATTATTTCATTTTTTGTCTCATAGCAGTTGGGACTAAAGGTTATACATTTGTCAAACCTCTTCTGGTAACGTGAAATCGCTCTGCGTTAGCAAAGAATGGTTGAAATGAACAAGATTGTTTGGGAAGCCATTGTCGGTTTCTCCTTATCTCAGATATCACAATACTTCATGTGTTTCAAACTTTCTTTAGCAAGTTTACCTGTGCAAGTAACTTCCTTATCAAAATGTGTTATTGTGATCCCAGAGTATACCAAACTGTGAAATTACACCACATTTCCTCATTTGGAATTGCTAAACTTCCTCATCTGGACTTTCCAGAGATACTCTACTGGGGGAAGAGTCAGAATGAATAAATAAGGGAAGACATTACTGAATACTTCTTAGAGAAGGGTGTGTTCAAGCATGAGCACAGAGAGGAAGGGGCAAGTGATGAGTCTGTGGTGAGAAGTCATTCTAAATTTCCAGCATTGCCAAATGCATCCATTCCACATGCCCTTGAAACGAAAGCCACAAGTCCAACTCTAGTTAGCATTAGCTAATGTGTCCACGAAGACAGATCTCTGTGAGTATCAGACCAGCCTGGTCTACAAGAGCTAGCTCCAGGTCTGGCTCCAAAGCTACACAGAGAAACCCTGTCTCGAAAAACCGGAAAAAAAAATCAGAATAGCTTGAGTCAGTGAGCTGGCCCAGTAGGTAAAGGTACTTGCCTCCAAGCCTGATGACCCGAGTCTCCTAGGGTACAAGGACAAAACCAACTCCTATAAGGTGTCCTCTGCCACCATGTGTCTCTTACTCTCATTCTCACTTCTTCCCTCTCTTTTTCTCTCCCCCCCACATTTCTTACACACGAAATAAACAAATAAAATTTAATATGTATTTTTTTTTAAATAAGAATATCTTGGTTCTTGTTTGGAGCATTAATATTCCTTTAAAAACTCCTCTAATGTTTCTGATACAGGCAGAGCTGAACGCCGATGGTATGTATTATGTGTCTATGTATGTATATATGCACACACATACACTAGATAATTATAATCTGTATTTGGTGGAGTATTTCTTAGCAGTTAAAAAAACAGATGTTTGCCAAGAATTTTTTCAAGACTTCTTGTAAAGGAATTTCTTATCTTAGCTGAAATTTTAAGTATACTTTTATGAAGGTCTGTCCCAGCATCCTTATGCTCTTGAAAGAAAAGAAATTCTCAAAATATTGGCATATTGCATTCTAGAAGCTTCATGTGCATCATTGCAGGATGGAAATGAACTTGCTGAACACCTCTTCAGCTGTCACAGAATGCCCTGCAAGGGTAATTAGTTATTCATCTTCCTGACACAGGGCACAAGCTCACCTTTCCCTTTGTCCTTTTGTGGGTTTGAGATGACCCTACACTATTTCTTCACTGTGTAGGATTGGCCTGGGGTCCTCATCTTGCTGAATCCGGTGTCCTTTAAGTGCAATGGACCTATAATACCTGAGCCAAAGTGTGTGTAAGTTAGAAATGAGAACACATTGCAAAGTGCTAGTTAGCAGTCAGCTGACTGACTCTTGTTCTGCTGTAAGATCAAATGATAATCCATATATCTTAAAATCAGTGCGAAGTGATTCTGACTGCTCAATAGAAATAATATATACCTGTCTGTAAATACCACGTCTGCATCCTGGCTGCAGAACTCTTACACAACTGTGTCTCGTGATAGACAGGAAGAGAGACTTCAGAGTTATGACCAACCTTCTGTGAAATCTGTGCTTCCTCTGAATTTCCCCACACGAGCTCCAGCTCTGGTGCACAGTTCTTCCACCCCCTTGTTTTTATTCTGCCTTTCCTTTTCTTTTGAATTAGAAATACAAACAGAATGTGCTGTTGTAGGATGTTTTGCATGCTTCGTGTAAACACTTGAATTTTCCATAACCAATGTAATACTATTTGGATATTCTATTTGTGTATGAGCAACCAAATTTAAGCAATTTAATTGTGAACAACTTTTGAGGAAGCTAAAAATATCAGTTAATCCTCAGTTAATGATAATCAAGAGTGCTCTACACACCACTGTTCATTTAAGTCCTTTACCTTTAGAATCAAGACTGTTCTAAAAACTGTAAATGAAGATGGGCAGTTAAATTTTAAGTTAAATGTTTTCTATAAAGGTCTTTGTTCCTGCTCTAGAAGATGAAACGTGCTTTTTGGAAAGTATACAAGTCCAAAGTATACAAGACACATGGCTCAGTCACTCTCCCTAGAGTGAAGCCCCAGAGCCAGTGCTCAAGGCAGGAAAGAACAGTTAACTTCACATAGGTCCTCCTTGCTCTGAGGCAGTTGTTCATTTAGCTTCAGAGACTAATTTCGTCAGTTTCAGGAACATACCAATCCAGTAAAATAGTTGGTTTTCAGTGGTTATGGGGATTTTGTGGCTTACTCATTTTTTTTTAAATCAGGGTCTTTCTACATAGACCAGGCTGGCCTCAAACTCACAGAGATCTGCCTGCCTCTGCCTCTGCCTCTTGAGTGCTAGGATTAAGGGCATGCACCATTGTGCCTGACTTTGCTCAATTACTTTTGTGTGTTGCTGTGGTTAGTTCTTTCTCATTGCCATGGTGTATTCCATTGTTTTGATATTGGTATGCATTTTGGGGGATTCAGTTTGGGCCATTACGAACCACAGTAGCTCAGATTGTGTCTAGGTTGCTGGTGGGATATAGGCACAAGTGAGCTTGCTGAATCATGTGTTCATCTTCAGTAGATCCTACCACGCACTTTCCAACACACTCTCTTGTTAAGAGTCGATGAGAGGTTAAACCGCGTCATATTCTTGGGTACCATTTAACATTAAAGCGTAATGCTGATCATCCAAGCTACAACTTTGGGTCTAACTAACAGGAGGATAGGAAAAGAGCATGTAACTGGCAAGTTAATAACTGGGAGGTGGAAGGAGTCAAACCAGCGAGTCACAGATGACAAATAGTAGTTGTGTAGGTGTGACCTGAGATAACTACTCTGAGAGTGGGCCACTAATCCAATGAAAGGACAGGGTGGAGGGTGGGGAGGATGTGGAGGAACCAAGAGGTGGGTCTGCTCCCAAGTCTCCCACGGTAAACAAGAGTCACAAGGGGATTAACCGTAAAGTATAGAAAAGTTATGCCTCTTGAGCCATATCCAGGACATCCATGTCACTGTGTAAGGATGTAAAGAGGAAAGAAACGAAATTCTCCAATGAATAAAGCCTAATTCCAGCTTAAAAACCTAGGTGTGCTTTCTCACACCACAATATGTACAATTACAAAGCTGTACTTGGAAGGCCTCCCAGGAAATTCCCCCTTCCTGGCTGTAACCCTGTAGGGAATTGCCATCAGATCGTAGATGTCCTAGGTCTCACACCTGGCTGCATCAGACCATGCCTTCCTTTGAGGTTGGCTCCCGGCAGAGACCTCTCTGCAGCCCCTTCAGGACAAAATGGTCTCAGCTCAGACCAGTACTTTTCCACTCTTCTCTTTCTCCTCCTGGGTTCTTACTACACAGAAACGTTTCTGGAGGTGGGGGTGGGATGGTTCCTGATAGCAAGAGAAGAACCATTTTCTGTATATTAACATCTGTGCTAACGTTCACCATCATTCACCAAAGACAGTATCCCGTGGGGAAGACTGACCAGGGATGTCTGTGCTTTGTCGGGTTTAACCCGTTGCTTCTGACATCATAGTAAGTGAGGAAGTGTTTGACTGTTTCCTTGTGTGTACATGAGTGGAGTGTGTGCATGCCTTGTGTGCACACCTGAGTAGATAGAGGCTAGCAGATGATGTTGAGTGTCCTCTATTGCACTCCATCTTTTTCAAGACAAGGTTGGTCTCTCACTGAACCTGGCCCTCACTCACTGGCTATACTGGCTGGCCAGCGAGCTAGAGGATCCATCTGAGCCCCCCCTCCAGCAGGAGAGTTGCAGATGTAAGTTGCCATACCTGGCTTTCCACTTAGGTCTTGGTATCTGAATGCAGGTCTGCATGCTTGGTTGGCTGGCACTTTGCCGACTGAGTCATCTCCTCAGTGGCCTGCTCTTTAAAAATCTTACTATTTTAATTTATTCTTCAAATACCTGGAACTTAGCTGAGCACCTGAAATGGGGGAATCTAACAGGAGAATATGAGTTCGACGTTGGTATGCCACTATCAATGTAGCCTCAGAATGCATAAAGAAAAGCTAGTATACAACTGAAATCATTGTAATATGACATATTCTATATGTCTATAGTGAGAGGTCAAGAGGGCATAGCCCAATGAATCTCCACAGCTTCTCAATGTGCTCAGAGCACACCATCGCTTCAACACCTCCCCTTACTTCCCTGACTTCTAATGGGATAGATTAAATTTGCCTGCTTGTAAACTCCACATAACAGAAATATCAGTTTACAGTTTTTTTAATTATTTATTTTTATTTTATGTGCATTGGTATTTTGCCATGGGTGTTGGGTGCCCTGGAACTGGAATTACAGACAGTTGTGAGCTGCCATGTGGGTGCTGGGAATTGAACCCAGGTCCTCTGGAAGTGCAGTCAGTGCTCTTAACCACTGAGCCATCTCTCCAGCCCCAGTTTATAGTTTTGAGCTTGATTTCTTTCATGAAGACTTTATTTTCTGGATATGTTAAAACCATTTTCTGAATATTAGCCTGCCCTTCTATATTCCAGGTGTTTTAGAAACAGCTTATGAGAGTTTACGTGTACTAAACATCGAAAGAAATGGAAACATTATTTATACCTATAAGGTAAGTCCACGTTGTCTTCTTATTGCAGTAAATATGTACAACATAGAGTTTAAGGTTTTAGCCATTTGTATTAGCCTTTTATAGATTTTTTTGAGATGGGATCTCAGTATGTAGCCATGGCTAGTTTAGGATTGACCATGTGGACCAATCTGGTCTCAAACTCACTCTAATTCCCTTACTTCCTCTACTTTACAGAATCTGTACCCCAATTTCTTGAAGGGCGGCAAAGACTTGTTGGTACTTAACCTTTAAGTACCTTGACTTCTGTGTAGGTGACATTGTAGAGTGGCTGATAGTCCATCTTATGAAATATTTTGTCTTTTAAAAATCAGAGAAACTACATATCTGAATTTCAAAATGTTTTTGAATGGATGGATAATTTCATTTTGTAGAGGAAAAAAAGGCCAAGATATTTAAACCTAACTAGTATGCTAAAATTTTGTCTTTGAGAAAATGTTAACTATGGCTACTCTATACATTCAGATGTGAGTATAACTGTAGTTGACACTATGGATGTCCAACAACATCTTTGGATGTTGGACATTAAGGAAAATTTAATTTTACTGACAACTCTGCTAATAGGGACACATGAAGGAATAATCCCAGCAGTTAGTTACATTAGTCCCACCATACTTTGTTTCCCTGTTGATTAAAATTTTCTTAAGTTATATTTAGAGATTATGCATTTAAAGATTCAATTTTGTTTACAAGAATGTTGTGGACTTGTTCAATTGCAGTCTGCCATATTTATTCTCCTAAGGACACATCTGGAGGTTCATGCAGAAACCTTCTAGCCAGTCCCCACCATTCCCTCTCCAAGTTCCAGTGACTAGCTGATTTAGGTCTGGTCCTTCTATATGTTCACAGCAGGCTTCCTTAGTGCCTACTGCTAAAATGGTTAGAGTCATTTTAGGTTTGTTTAAAAACCCATGACAACCTGATTTCCTAAACAATGACACTAATAAACATCTACTTAATTTTTAGGATAATAAGGGAAATTCTGTCTTTGGACTGTATGACTGCCAAACCAGACAGAACGAGGTAATAGATTTCTTGGTTGACTATTTTTTTTCTTTTTGCCTCCTCTGTTTTCTAGATATAATCTTCAATTTTATTTTCCAAAAACTTATATAATTTCATTTCTTCCCTTCTCCAATGTCTTTAGTGTTTTTATCCATGTTACAAAAAAAAAAGTATAATGACCCCTGAATCAAAATGACACACGCAATCTTAGTTCTTTGAAATTTAACCAAAGTTGGCTCAGACTAATTTCATAATATTATGGGGAAGAAAAATAAAAGTAGGAAGTCCATTGCCTTCCCCAAGATCTGTGTGTTTTCCTGGGTCATTTCATAATGACCCTTGTCTCTGAGTTCTGATTCTGGCTAACTTTCATGTCATTGTTTTTGTTCCTTTTCAGTAGCAATCCAGGTTTGGAGTGGGTTTCTTCATTTTCTCCAAAACCACTCCTGTTAGTTCCTGGTCAGTGTGAACAGTTTTTATCTAATTGGGACATTAGGGAAGGAGGGTAATTTGTGCTTACGTATGAACAATTGAGAATCAGATCTTAATGGCCCTTGAACTTAAGTATCTTTTTATCCATTCTGAGCTTCCAGTGTGGTTCATTCTCTTTTCCCTTCTTCCACCCAGTCCACCCATAGCTGTTCATTCTTTCACTCATCTGTTTATTCTCTGATTCAATAACCACACAAGCCAGTGTTCTGTTTGTAAGGGTCCAGAGTCACATGGATGACCAAGGCAAATCATGTGGAAATAGTCTTGGGGAAGAGGCAAATAAAGCTCTGGGAGCCAGTGCAGCTCTTTCCCTGGCTTCTATATGGTCTGGATTTTGAGTAGATGCATTCTGAAGCAGCAAACTGTGGAATTTTAACCTGACTTGGGTGGGGGGCAGCTACCTTTTGTGGATATGTTCATCTTCCCTGGGGCTGTAAGCAAGGAGTGAGGGATATTTTGCATTTGATTTGTTTCTTCCTTGCTGCTTTTTAGCTTTTAAAATATGGAGGTTACTCAGGAAATAAATTGCTTAAGGCATAAATTAGTGGGAAATTTAACCAGCTTTGCTGTAATAAGTAGGGACATCTTTCTGTAACCAAGTTGCTGTCTTAGGTGTAGCCTGTTTGCTGCTGCTGCTACAGCCTGCTATAACAAAGAGTCTGAGATTTGATTTTTATTTTTGGTTTTGCAAGACAGGGTTTCTATGTAGCTCTGGCTGTCCTGGAACTCACTTTATAGACCAGGCTGGCCTTGAACTCACAGAGATCTTGTCTCTGCCTCCTGAATGATGGGACTAAAGGCGTGCAACACCACTACCCAGGAAGATTTGGTAATTTGTGAAGAACAGATGCTTAGTTCTTATAGTTCCAGAAGTTGAGAAGTTCAAGGCCAAAGGTCCCACATCTGGTAACGGCTTTCTTTCTCTGTCATGGCACACAGTAGAAGGATGAGAATAGGAGAGCGAAAGGGTTCTAGACTTATCTTTATGATAGTACTTTCCCAGTGATTAACCCAATAGTCCATTGGAGGGCAGAGCCCTGTGACCTATCCACCCTTTACTGTGCCTTCCCCTCCAGGCACTGCTGTGTTGGGGATTCTGTTTCTAACCTATGTACTTGGGAGACATAGTCAAATCACAGCAGTTACTAAGCCCCCTCTCTCTTCTATCTTTTTTCCTATCATATTAAGAACACCTTAAAACCCACACATTTTGCTTTGGTTTTGTTGAGGAAATGGGTTTGCATATCACGTCATCTGGACTTTAAATTTTCTTTCAAGTTCTGCATTTTTGTTTTGGAACTGTGCTACCAGGAGAAAGACAATGTTTTATTTTAGTCATAGCACTCCAGGCTGGGTTAAAGGAACACAAATCTTAATGTTTCCCGACCTTCCTACATGGTTTTGTTTTTAAATGGGCAAATCTGCCAAGTTCCATGTACCCTTAGCCCAGTTTTCTCCAGCTGTTACATCTTGAGTAACTAGAGCATGACAGTAAAACCAGGAAGGTGACACTGGGAGAATGTGGGTGTTAGGGTTCTGGGTTATTTCATCACATAGGCACCATCGTGTAGTCAGCTCAGCAGTCAGGGCACACACTCTGCTGTCATCCAGAGAGCTGCTGGTGGCTATTGGCCAGTTCCAGTGAGACTCAGGGTCCTTACTTCTTAAGTCATTCACTTCCTTAGAGTTACAGTCATCTCCAGCATTTTGTCTCTTTTAGAAAGATTTATTTATGTATTTATTTACTTAGTGTATGTGTGTGTGCCTGTGTGAGATGTGCATCATGCAAATGCCCAAGCCCATGGAAGCCTGAAGAGGGCGTGGGAGCCCCTGGGACCGGAGTTGAGAGCCACCATGCAGGTGCTGGGAACTGAACCCGTGTCCTCTGCAAGAACAGTAAGCACTCTTAACTGTTGCACCATCTCTCCAGCCACCCTTCCCCCTTAAAAAGACATTTATTTACAGGTTTGTTTTACTGTGTCTTGTGGACCTTGGGACTGAACCTATAGCCGTTGTTCATGGTGGGCAGGTGCTGCACCACCAAGCGGTAGCCTTGGCTTCTTGGCAGTTTTTCAAGACCCACATTCGATGACACACATTTCACCTTTGTTGTCAAATATAATTTAAGAAATATGAAGTAAGGAAAATCCACTCTGTGCAACCTATAGTTTTTCTCTCTCCATTGTTTCATGTTCTTCTCTGGTGTCCTGATTCCTTTTGTTCTTTTTTTTTTTTTTTAACATTTTCTTGGTCTTTTAAGACTTTGTTTTAGTCACAGTATTTTAGGGTTGGTGTGCAGGTCATACATTCTCAGCTGAGCATTTCTTTCATTTATTCGTTTTGAAGGGTTATTTTTGTCAAGTCTGGAATTCAATCTGGCAGATATTGTCTTTTGGTTCCTGAAAAAATGTCTTCCTCCATCCCTCCATGGTGCCATTTTCCCCAACTACTTTTGAAAAGTTTTTTTTTTTTTCCCTTTGCCCGCTATCTTCTGAAATTTTACTTGAGTGTGTCCCTGTGGATTTGTATGGGTTTTCTTTTCTTTCTTTTTCATTTATGCTCTGTGTCTTTCACACCATGCATCTCAATCCCACTCATTTCTGTGTTCCTTTGTATCCACCCTCTGCCCTTGTAACCCCCTCCCCCCAAATAAAATCAAATTGAAGAGAAAAAAAACAAACAAAAGGAAAAATCAATCTCATCATGGAAGGCGTATCGTGGCCAGTGAATCACAGAGTAAACCCTTTTGTCCATTCATCTTTACTTGCAAGCGTTCATTGCAAAGAGTCATTGGTCTGGTTCCAGGCCTCTGGCTTCTGCTACATATCGATGCTGGGCCCTCACTGGGACTCCTCTTGGACATCCTATTGTTACCTCATGTCATGGAGATCCTGCAGCTTTGGGGCTGCAGGACTGGACTCTTCACGTGCTCCAGCAGATCATAGATGGGACATGATATCATAGATGGTGCGCCAACTCATTGCCCTGGTTCTGGGCCTGGGTAGTTGCAGTGTTGGTCAGCCCACCAGCTCTCCCTGTCCTCACCACCAGCGTGATTTCTCCCTCATTGCTCCAGCTAGTTCACCCTTTGCATCAATGAGCAAGGGGTGGGGCCAGTTATCCTGCTTTCATGTGTGTGTGGGGTGTTTGGGGGGGGTCAGCTCTCCCATACCTGGACTACCAAGGCCAGCTCTGCTGTGTTGCCCAGGCCAGGTGCAGGGGCCACTCTCCCAAGGGCTGCAGCTAGTGAGTGACAGGGCCAGCTCTCCCTACCTCCATTGTTTGGGTTTTCATTCAGCTTCTTGAATCTTTTGCCCAATTTGGGGCAGTTCACTCATCACCCACCATATCTTCAAACTCTCACAGAAGCTTCACTTCTCTTATTTTGGACTTTGATGACATCAGATTAGTTCATTGTCTTTGTGACAGTCAGGGTCTATGAGGTTCAGTTCCTTTCCCTTGTCCCAGCTTATGTACTTTGTGTTGTTCAGATTAGGTATTTTCCCCTTCAAGTTCCTGGATTTTTTTTTTTTTTTAGTATGTTATCATTTGAGATCTTAAAAGTTGATCATTGTAATTTCCAATGGTAAAATTTCTATGCATTTTTATGTATGTCCTTAAGATTTCCATTGTTTTTTTATTCATCCCAATTTAAACTTCTTATTGAAGGTTTTGTTTTTTTTTTGTTTTTGTTTTCTGAAACCATAGCTTCTTTAAAACTTTGCCACAGCATCTAGTATTTGCCACCCTGGTGTTTAATGGCTGCTTTTTTTTTCTCACTCAAGCTGAAGTGTTCCTGTTCCGGGCATGACTCATAGTTTGAGTATCTCCCAAGAGACTCTAGGTCTTGTTTAGTTTTCTGTTTTAGTGCCTCTCTGATGCTGTGGTAGGAGTGAGGACTCAAACTCCTCCCCTTTGCTTCCTGTCAATGATACTTAGCAGAGAGGGTCCCTGCTGGTGCTGGGTGGAGATGGGGTTTGTGGCTTCCTACAAGGGACTGATAAGTAGGTGTTAGGAGAGTTGGGGGTGTAGGGCTTAGCTTCCTATTCAGCCCTTCTGACAGTGCCCCACTAGGGAAAAGCCCGGTCTCCTCAGTGTTGGGTCTGGGTGCATTTCCACCATTCCTACATAGCTTTCTGTGTGTTTCGAGGAGGTAGATTTCTACCGGGTCTTGATTTCTACTTGATCTTTTTCCCACAGGAGTGGATAGTGCCTGGGGCGTCTGGAGGGGGTGGGACCCTAGTTTTCCCACTCAGCCTTGTGGGTAAAGGGAGAAATGGGGTTGCGTTTTCCCTAGACTGTTTCACTAGAGTAGACTGTCTCTGTCTTGCTGGATTTCTCATTTCTTCACCTCAGGGTGGGGGTGGGGAGGTTGGGGCAGTGTTTCTATCTATTCCCGGCATAGTTTTTGTCATAATCTCTTCTTAACTCCAAGTCTAGAATATGTTATGCTTCATTTCTCAAAACTTGGAGTCCCCAGAGTCTGTACCCCGTCACCCCTGGATGCTGCAGATTGAACCCACATCTTTGTGCTTACGGTAGAACCATCTAACCTGTGTTCTCTTTACTCCACTTTCATTGTGTAGAGAATGTTCAGGGATTTTAGTGGGAAGAATAGAGAGAAGTGAGACTTTTCATATTGGTCTGGCTCTCTGAAGGTTTAAAGGAATGGCTCTCCCCATGTGGCCCAATAGAAAGCGGCACATTACGGACCCTTAAGTTGGCAAGGTCTAGTCCTTTCCTCCTTACCTCCCTCTGCTCCCTCTCTACCTCCACTCCTGCTGGTGGACCCTCAGCTCATGCAAGAGGGAGTAAGACAGCACCGCTGGGATTCAAGCATCTAACAGACATTTCTGTTCTTCTCTGCTTCCGCTCATATGGAATGTGAGGTTGGACCTGTCATGCTTTGGGGAACAGAACTTGGAGTTCCATTACATGGAGGCTGATAATGTATGAAATCCAGAAGAAAGAAGAATGGATATTTACAGTTCTGGATTAAACCTGCTAAAGCCCAGATCAGCCTTGCATTTTCCAGTTCCATGAGCCACTGTGTAATTGCTTTTTTGCATAAACTAATTTGGTGTATATGTTTTGATGTTTACAATAGAAGAATTCCATACTTGTATTCCTTATGTCCCAGCAATTCTTGCATAGGCTCACAAAGATGTATTTGAGGTTTAGGAATGTATCTCAGTGGTGGAGTACTTGCCCAGCTTGTACAAGCCCCTAGATTGGAGCCCCATCACCAATAATAATAATGGAAAATAATATATGAAATATTAATTGGATCATTTTAGTATCTAAAAGTGGGAGCTAGCTTAAATTAATGCCCACTACTTACTTGGGAATAAATGCAAGTGCTGAGGGGTTAATCAGTCTGTAGGTTGGGCTATAGGAAGGCTAGCATGGCTTAGAAGGTAAAGTGCTTGTTGGACAATCACATTTCCAGGGCCCATGTGAAAAACAGCACCGTGGTGTGTATCCCGCAACCCCAGGCCTGGGAGTGTGACAGGCAGGGTGTAGGGCTTCTTGGGCTTGATGATCTAGCCAGATTGGTGGGGCAAGATAGAGGAGACACTTGACCCTGACCCCTAACCTTCTCAGCACAAGCATAGGCATGTGTACCTGCATTACACACACACACACACTTAAGTGTACACTGCCACAGAAGGTTCTCCAAAACCTTTTGCTTCATGAAGAAAAGTATTTGATACCTCCATTCATGTTAGAAAACTAAGAAACATAATAACACAGTATATATGGAAATAACTTTAGAAAATCTGGAAGGATACTGTACAAGTTACAAACTTACCTCTTGGAATGGACTTGACATTGCCTGAGGTTTGGAATGTTTGATGTTATATTTGACAACATTTGCATCTTTTAAATATCGAGGTCATTCATGTGGTATTTCATATTAAAAGTATAAAGTACTAAAAGTGTAGTGTGCAATCTATGATTTTTCTTACTTATATAAATAAAAATCACTCAGAGCCAAGAATTAAAAAAAGCAAAACTTCTACAGGAATGTAGTGCCTTCTTTAGGAAAGAGTTTATTATTAATTCTCTCTGTGTGTCCGTGTGGGTATGTACTAAGGAGGTGTCTGTGTGGGTGTGTACTCAGGAGGTGTCTGTGTGGGTATGTACTCAGGAGGTATCTAATACCCCTGGGTCAAACACATGTGCAATAATGAGCTGCATGATTCGAGAACAGCTCATACAACTGAGCCTCTCTCTAGCCCCAAATTTAGTGCCTTCATATTAAGTCAAAGCTCTCCTTTAGTAACTGTTTCCTGTGGTGATAGGTGACATAGTCATAGTGTGTCCTCAGCCCTTAACATACACATCCCATTTTCTGTCTACATGACTTTTTATTTTCCTTAGCATTGATCAAATGGACTGTTTTGACTCCTCCCACCCCAGTGCTGTTTGAGACAGGGTCCCACTGTATAGCCCAGGATGGCCTCCAACTTGTAAGTCTTCTGTCTCAGCCTCTGGAGGGTTGGGGTTACTGGTGTGCATACCATGACTGGCTTCCCTTGATATTTTGAATATTTCAAACATTCATAAAAAGGAAAGATTAAGTAAAGATAGAAGATTCCTCAGCTACAATGGTATCATAGTCAAGTGTGTAATCTGATTAAAGCCTTTCTCATCTCACACTTAAAATGCTAACATCCAAGAGCTTATGACAGTGTACATTATACCAAGTGCTTCATGAGTATTGTCCCTCTTGATCTTCATAATAACCCCATAAGATACTTTGGCCATACCACTCTAGTATTTCTCAGTCCTCATAATAACATGAGATACATTTTATAGTCCCATGTTAATTATGGTGGATTGGTAAGTTGAATAATTTGTTCAAAGTCACCCAGCTGGATAATAACGGTTATGATTTGACCATAGGTTTAGCTTAGTTTCAAAGTTTATGTTCTCAACCACACTGTTTGGTTGTCTCATAGCTAAGTTTCAGTGCCAAATGTGGCATAAAATATTAAACATTTGCTAAGCAATGCTTGGTATAAAGTTTAATAGGAACTTAGCTTCATACAATTGTCGTTTGCTATAACCATCCTTTTTGGTCATTTTAATAGCATCTGTATACCTTTGAGAAGGACATGCAAGCTGTCAGCTGCTCTGTCAACAGCGAGAGAACTTTGCTTGGTGAGTTGAGATCTCTTTGCTGCACAAGAACTACATATTTTAAGTTGAAGCTTTGGATTTTGCAATACTTGATTATAACAACAACTTTCCAGAGAACACCTGTTCTAGGTAAATCAAGTTTGAAATTGAGAATCTGTAGGGCACACCTATAGGAAAGAATGCTTTGTATTCATTCAGGGTTACAGAGACAGGTCCTTAGCACTCTCATTTATTCCAGGTAGAAAAATGATAAACTTGAACAAGGTTCCATGGGGATCAGTTGCTAATTGTTTTTTTTTCTTTTCCCTTAGCTGCAAGTTTTGTTCAGTACACTAAAGAAGGAGTAAGGAGTGAGTTTCATCCGGGTAATGGAATTATTCTTCTTTTGTATGTACTGATAAATAAAGACCTGTTGGACTAAGCCAAATTTCAAACATTTCAGAAGTGCCTTTATCTTAGAATAAAAAGGCAGCAGCCATTTAAGCACAAGCAAGACTTTAAATTGTGTTTCTCAAGTAGGCAAGAAGGTGCAAAAATATAGTATAATGAAAATTGTAGACAAATGAGATGATAATTAGCACCTGGACACTAAATGAATACCGAGAATTTACTTGGCTTGTATGGCCAGAAGCTAATGGAAAAGTATGAAACTTACCGTGCTATTTAAAAAATATCTGGTGAGTATGGCGTTGGTGGCCTTTAATCCCAGCACTCGGGAGGCAGAGGCAAGCAGATCTCTTTGAGTTCAAGGCCAGCCTGGTCTACAGCACGAGTTTCAGGACAACCTCCAAAGCAATACAGAGGAACTCTGTCTTGAAAAACCAAAAGAAAAAAATCTGGTGAAATATTGATTAATCTCTAATGCATTGTGGATAGTCTATAAATACAAAATAAAACACAAGTCTGTTCATTTACAAAAACCTACTTTATTATAGTTTATAGCCATGTGGAATCTTTCACTTTTTAAATTCAAAAGGTATTCTGTGTCATCTGTCTGTCCCATAACTCAACAGTATTGACCGTGATGGTCTGGGCCCCCACATGCTGTTGGAGATACAACTTTAGTAAGTGTCGAGGTGGCTATTCTCATGGAGCTTTCTATCTAGCACCAGGTTCCAGCTACAAATGTTTACAGTAGCCAAAGGCCATATAAATAAGTAGATTCCAAGGAAGAAAATGAAGTGTCAGGCTTATGGCATAGCTCTATCAGTGAAGCTTTGCTGTGCAAATGTGGAAACCTGAATTCAGTCTTTAAAATCCATGTAAAAATATCCAAGTGTGATGGTACACACTTGTAATCTCGGTGCTACGGAAGCGGAGATAAGCCAACCCTGGGGTTCACTGGCCAGTCAGCTTAGCCCACTTTGGCCATCCCTGGGCCAATGAGAGACTCAGCCTCACAAAATAAGGTAGACGGTGCCTGAGAAATGACATACATATTTAACCTCTGACCTTCATGTGTACACAGTAACGTGTGTGCTTGTACAGATACATACCCACATAAAAAAGAAAAATAAGATGTTTTTATTGTTTCCATTGTTAAATATTTCTATTATATTATATTTTCTTTATTTATCTTGTATGCCTGTATATGCATGGGCATGTGTGTGGCGGTCAGAGGACAACTTATGGTAGTTGCTTCTCTCCTCACACCGTATGAGTCCTGGATGTTGAATTTAGGTGGTCAGGCTTGGCAGCAGGTGCCTTTGCCCACTGAGCCATCTCACTAGCCATGTTGTTTCCAGTTTTAGCATAGAAACAGAGAAATGTCTCAGTTGTTTAATGAAATGTGTTCAACAGCTATAAGGACTGGGGATGGGTACAGGGTCTTGTCCTCTGGGAAATACCAAAGGACTGCCCACTACTTAGTTTTAGATTTTTGTTGCTAGAAAGGGAAGTTAAGTCCACTGGGGCCAGCTTTGCATTTTGTTGAGAACTCTAGACTTTTATGTAAAAAATCTAGTTTATAAAAGTTGGCGCAACTAGTTTTGAAGACTCTGCCACCAATGGCAGCCACCTGGGGGCAGCCTGAGAACTACCATTTTTCAACCCTTACCCAGAGGATCTGATTTTGGCCCTTCCCTCTGCTCTATTTATCTGGCACTTTTTCCTTCTTCTGTTAGTATAGTTCCTACTGGATGTGTTCTGTGGTTGTGTGTGATGGAAATACCCTTTGTACATACTTTTCACGTGAGGCTCACAAGGCTGTCCTGAACTTCTGAGGACATATATCTCCCACATCTCAGAGAGGCAGGGAAACTGGAGTCAAGCCTGGGAAGAGCTGTTGTTAAGATATTGGTGAGCTAGTTGTCTTATCTGAAATCTCATTGCTTATTCAGTAGTACTTTCACCCTGTAGTGATATATAGAGAACTATGGTCAATCCCATTCACTCTCTCTCTGGCCTCCTCCTCATCCCTTTTCCTGCTCTTAGGATCTGATGCAATGCTGACCTCAAGAGATGGAATTGGACTGGTTTATGTGTGGTGTGATCTAGAACATTAGTATGCCAATCCCTCAACAAGGGTTTGAAAATAGGACATAGGGCTGATGTGATTTGCTCCTTGGTTCTGGGAAGGCAAGCTTCTGCTGTAGCTGCCGAGCTGGTCTACGTTACAGCCTGGAGTCTGCGTGGATGCACAACAGGGCAGTCCACAGTCAGAGGGCATCAGGGAGCTGAAGGGTAATTCTTCCCCATTTCCAGTCTGAAAAGGAGTGATTATGAGGTACCCTGAAGCAGGTTAAGATTCCAGGTGGCCACTAATGTGCTGACATTTCATGTCCACTGTGTGTATGGCCTTTGGCATACCGTGCCCTCTCCCTCAGGTAAATGTCTCATGAAAGCAGCATCTGAGGTGGAGAATCCTGTGTTTCTTTGTTGTTCGTTTATTTGGGACATGGAAACACGACTGGGGCCTGAAAGAGAAGATCAGGAATTACCTTTCCAACAGAATAAGACTAGACTACATTTTGTATATTCACTGCTTTAAGAGAGCCACGAGGACAGTGAGCTGAGGTGGAGTGGAGGAAATGGAGGTGAGGGCAGGGTGGTTGTCTCCATAGCAGAGACCCTTGAAATGACCTAACCTTCACTGTGAGCAAAAGGGAATCGTGTTGTTCAGGGTGCATCTGGACAGATTTAGAAAACAGATTTGTCAAGATTGGCGTCTGGATTTGATGGCACATGAGAAAAAGAACAAGTCAAGAACAACTCTGGGGGTGGTTGTGTGGGAGGGAGAGAGAGAGAGAGAGAGAGAGAGAGAGAGAGAGAGAGAGAGAGAGAACAGGAGTAGGAGGAAGTGTTTGGTTTTGTATATTCTTGGTTTGAGATGTGAATTAGACATATTCTAGAGATGTAAGGTAGGGATTTGAATATGAGTCAGAAGTCGAGCTGAGAGCAGAAGCTGGGTTGGAGAAATACCTTTGAGAATCACCAGTTGTCACTGTGTGAAGGTTTCTTTCTGTTCAGTTAAGATTTCAGAAATGGGTTGGGCTTCGTGGTGAACCCCTTGTTGCCTCAGAACTTAAGTGGTAGATGTAGGAGGACCAGGAGTTGAGTGTCAGCCCCAGCTATAGAATGACTTCAAGACTAGCCTGGGGCTACATGAAACCCTGTTACAAAAAACCTTCATCCTAAAAAAGAGGTTTCAGAAGTGATGTAACCAGAAAGTACTATAGAATATGTTGTGTTTTGTCCTTTGAACAGATATTTTTGGGAAGATTTCTTTTGTCTGTTCATGAATGGCTACCTTATAAGTCATTTTATTAAAAAAAATTGTAGTCTTCTGCAAAGTGTTATTTGACATTTTGCTGTTTAAAATGACATTTTTTGCAAAAGAAACAAACTGTAATGTATTTCAAGTAACAGATTCTCTGATCCACATGTACAGTCAGCTTTTTTTCCCATAAGCCTCTCTCCTTGGTCAAAGTACAGTTAATGTTTGTTTAGAAAATGACCTCCCATAGGGAAGAGGTCCAGGGTGAACTCTGCGATTTTCTCCTGTAGCTACATTGGCTATCAGATATGGTAGATCCCTTTGGCAGCAACTGGGGTGGCCACTTGTACTGGGACCCCACTGTCACCGAGACTCTGTAGAGTCTCCTTACCAGGAGGATGGATAAACAATTATTCCATGAGCTGTGGCTTGGCTCAGAACCTCTGTGTGAAGTGCATGGTATGTGTCTGAGAGACATTCCTGTCAGTGGTGGCTGACTCCCGCCATTATGCCAGTTGTCCAGGTAAATGCCTGGCCTGTGCTGAATTCTGGGCAGTGGCGGCTGTGGGGGAGGATTAGTGGAGGAAAATAGAGAATTTAAATGGTAGTTGGTATTTTATTTGTAAAGATATAAATCCATGCCATAAATGCCTTAGAGCATTTCCCCAAACACTGAGTTTTTCATGCAGTTAGAATATATGAGTTTTTATGAGGTAATTGGCTGTCCATTTGTATATCTAATGTAGTAATTTAGTTGCACATATTTAAAATAGCTTTTAGTAGGGAAGTTTGCTTTCTCCCCTTGTTCTCACTTTTTGCAGAATATTTTCATCCTATTTTTCTTCTTGACTGTCTTTGATACCTGTGTCTCTCTTATTCCTCGAGCTGTATTTTAGGCATCAAGTGGACTTCCAGAGGACCTCACTGTCAGTGTGACATGGCCTGTAGTCAACCGAGGAAAGAGTCTCGGTTGAGGGATTATCCAAATCACATTGGCCTGTGCATGTGTCTGGAGGATTCTTTTGAATGTTAATTGATGTAGGAAGGACTTTCCCACTGTGGGCAGTACCATTCCCTGGGCAAGTGGTCCTGGGCTGTGTCAACGTTAGCTAAGCATGAACCTATGAGTAAGTCAGCAAGCAGCATTCCTCAGTAGCTTCTGTTTCAAGTTCTTGCTTGAGTTCTGCTTCCTGTCCCGACTTCCTTCAATGATGGACTGTGACCTAGGTGTGCAAGCCAAAACAAAACCAAACCAAAAACCAAAACCAAACAAACAAACAAAAAACCAGCCTCCAAACCTTTCCTCCCTTGTCGAGGCCCAGCATGTCTCAATCCCCAACCACGGAAGCCACGAGGTTCGGCTTGAGTGGGGGAACGTGGACTTGGAAATTTCTAGCAACCCAATGGCAATAAAGACCAGATACAGGCATCTTGTCATCTTTAGAGAGCTCTCAGTTCCATGCTGCAAAACTGGAGTCTCTCCTTTATTCAGCATCTTCCTGGCTGTAATCTAACCATTCTTCCCTGACCCCGAGACCATTTCTCTACCATCTTCCTAGACCCTATCAGCAGATCTCTCTCAACTGTTCCTCCTGATCTAGACCTCTCAGCAGATACCTCCTAACCATCTCTCTCACTCTCACTTGTCACATAGACCTAGCCCTCTGCCCTGGTGCAGGCCTGTTCAAAATGCTTAGTTCTGTAGAGATACAAAACTAGGGGACATTCTCCACTGAGGCTAAACCATTCAACAGCTAGCATCTGCAATACAATGCAGACTGCAGCTCCAGAGGTTAGGTCCCTGAGAGATTCTCTAATGGAATCAGTTCTCTGTCACTCCCTTAGGTCACTTTTAGTCATGGTATTTGTCACTAAAGCACTCATCTTTGTATCCCAGTCAACAGGAACACAACCTTTTAAATTGGTGTCCTGTCATTAAACTTTTGTTTTGTTTTTTGTTTTTTGTTTCTTGTCATAAACTATGAGTACTCATCAAACATTTGACTTTTCATTCTGTAGTTTTATACTTGTGATTCAATATACTAGCTCACCTGCTGTCTTACCTTTTCAAGTGATTTGTGTGTTCAGAAGGATAGCTGTGTATCTGTGTGGAGTGTGATGTGTGTGGAGGACAGGATTTAACCTTAAGTGCTTTCTTCTCTTGCTCTCCATCCTACTCTATTTGAGACAGGATCTCTCACTGAACCCGGAACTCACTGAGTTGGCCAGGCTGGCTGACTAATGAGCTAGATGGATCTGCTTGTCTCTACTCTGGCATCGTAGGTGGACACTTCCATGCCCGACTGTTTTATGTGATGTTCAGAATCTGAACTCAGGTCCTCAGGCTTCACAGCAAGCACTTTCCCCACTGAGCCATCTCCCCAAATCCCTCAAGGCATTTTCTTAGTTTCTAATAATAATTTTTATCTATCTGCCGTTGATTGATAGAAATGTAGCAACAACAAACCTGCTGAGATCTGGGCAAAGTGATGCCTCAAAGGAGGAAAAAAATGCAAAACAAAAATTAAAGACACTAAATAAAATGATGTTAAAAGAAAGAAAATCTAACACAGAGCCCCCCCCTCCCCCCAAACAAACAGCAAACAAACCAGTCCCTCAACACTGGGTGGGTAGCCCAGCATCCTAGCAGCTGAGACAGGAGACTCATTCCAAACTCCAGGGCAGAATCAAAAGCATGTTCTCTCCAGTAAAAGCAAAATACAGAAGCCCTGTAACCCTAGCATTTCCAGGGTGCAGGCAGTGAATTAAGAATTTGAGGCCATCCTCGGCAACACTTGAGTTGAAGATCACAAACCGGGGCTGCCTGAGACCTCTCAGAAAAGAGAAGCAAAGGAAAGTGCACCACCCACCTTCTAATGAGGAAGTCAGCAGTGGCCCGGCAGGGTCTACAGGATGCCCTCCCTATAGTTAGTCTGCCTCGACATCTGCCATGTCTGTTTTATAATAGAAGTCCAGGCAGACAGTCTCAGCAAGGCTTCCGGAGCTGCAGGGAGTCTGGTGGTGTGGGGAGGCCACAAGGTCTTGTAGCCTTGCCTGGTCCTTCGGAGAGCTGCAGTAAAAGCATCTGTGCTCTCTGACCTGCAAGGACCACGTTGGTGGCTGGATGACTGGCTTTCCAGCCTTGCCTCTGGTGGTGGGGCCGAGGGTGAGGCATTTGGGAACAGGCCAGCTGAGCCCTTGAGCCCTGAGTGTCTGCCCTTGGTCACAGGTATGAGGGAGCTGCTCAGCTTGCCCTCCCCTTCAGGCTGAGCTGAGCCTGTAGGCCAGGACCTCGAAAGCTTCCATGATTTTTAGCTTCAGGACAGCAGCTGGGCTTGTAGTCACCAGAGACCCGGGATCTCCCATCTTGACTACTGCTAGGTTCAGGAGTTTCGCCTCTGGCGATTGGTAAAGACATTTTTTATAGAAATAACCCGGGACTTGCAATTTGTTAGGTCATATCCTGAAACTGGTTCATGTGCCAGGTTACTCTTAAGAACTGGTTTATCCCAGACCTCTGTGTGATCCCCAAATTGTTCATTAATATTCCCAATACAGTAATTGAGAGGGAGAGAGCCTGACTATATTAGAGTCATACGAACTAGACTCTGCTCTTGGGAGAGGAGACCTTTGACCTAAATTTGGATGTCTGTAGTAACCCCATCCAGCCCCTGGCCAGGACTTAATCCTAATTGCTTTTTATGACATTTGCTCAGGTATGACACCAAGACCTAAGGCAGCTAGCTGTTGACAATGCTGCTCGCTCCTGGGAGAAACTGAGATTTTTTGAGCTGCTAATGACAGGCACTGTCAGCCATGATACACATTCCTCAGAATATCTTTGTCTTTTCAGGAACTGGTTGCCACTGTGCTGCAGAACTGGACAGATGATGAGTAGGGCTGTGCTAATTTAGACTTAGAAGGCAGAGGGTCTATGAAGCTGTGCTCAAAATGGCTCCACTGTAGGCACAGTGACTCCAGCTTCCTTGTGGGTTCTTTATCTATTTTGATCTTTTTTCCTTGTTGGTGATGAAAACTGAGCCCCGCCCCCCTTATCCTCCTCAGTTGCCCTACCACCGAGTTATATACCTATGACTCCAATTTTGAGTTTGAGAAATGTCAAAGTAAAACTTAGGCAAATTAAGAAATAGCTGATAAAAGGAAACACACCTTCAAAACCCAGCTGCACCTATTTGCAAATGATCCTATTTGCACAGCACAGGGGGAAAGGGCACCTGCTGGAGGTCAGACTGTCAGTGATGGCACCCAGTGCTCCTGGGTCAGCCGGGGCTGCAGTGATGGATGGCATCTTGCTTCAGAAACGGCTGGCACTGTAAATTCAGGGCTTCCCTCCCCAGTGCCTGCTGCTGTTCCCAGGGCACTCAAAGGCTTCCCTTTGAACGTGGGCATCCTGTGACTGGGTCAGAGGCAGGTGTGTAAGGAGGTATGCGCAAATCAGGTCGATTGCTCCCTTAGAGCCCCTGGGCCGCCCCAGAGAAAGGAACTGGGGACTAGAGTTCAAGTTTAACGTCACCTCTGGAGACATTCTGATGATGGTAGAGTTGTTCTTATGTTTGCTTGAGAAAAGAGAATGTGTACTATCCCAGTCATTGTGCCTGAATCCTCCCTTTCTCTGTAGGATCCAAGTGCTTAACTTTGCTGGTTGAAATCCATCCTGTGGACAGCGTGAAGGTTCTGAAAGCAGTGGATAGCTGTATTTGGGTCCAGGTAGGTAAGCCTGAAGCCTCCTTGCTGTCTCATTGATCAGAAGGTGTGACCCTAGGGAGAAAGGTGTCTGTTTACAAAGTGCTTTCACACAGTTCCAGAACTACTCCTCTAAGCAGGGTTCCAGCTGTGATGGCTTCTAGCATCAACATTTCCCTTGTAAACATGGAGACAAGAACTCAGACCCGGCTGCTCAGCTCTGCTCTACCTGATGGTAAAGCAATGTTTTCACATGATAAAACATCAAATAGTAAAATAACTCTCTGGTAAGCTTTAGAATTGTTTATGTCATGTATTTACCTTGTTGACAGACTAGTTATCTGATTAAGTGACAGTGAACTCCTGACTTTAGCAACGCTGTGGATGGCTGCAGAAGCCCCTTGTGGATAATGTGGGTGGACAGTTGGTTTTTATTTGAAGATTCCACATTTGTGTATTCTTGTGCTTATGAAGGTTTATTTGCAATTTAGAATTAACACTTACACAGCACTTGGCCAGGTATGTGCTGAGCAGGCCTGTCATTGGCTTGCACATCCCAGCAGAGGCGATGCTCTGCCGCGTATATTTCCATGCTCACACTGCAGACAAGTGGTGCTCACTACCTAGTGCTTTTCATTGTGATATGACTGCTTGTAACGACTTCCTGGTGTTGTGCTGAAGTGTTGTCTAGTGTTTCTAAGAGTACAAAGGCTGTGGCATGTCTTACAGGGTAACGTGTGATAAGCTTTGTTCAGGCATGAGTTATTGTGCTGTGAGCCATAAACTCAGTGCTAATGAATCAATGAGCTGTGTGACATGAGGCATATTTCAACAGAAACGCACAGACAAAATTCTATATTCATTCGTTGACAAGGGTGTGAGCAGAGTGTTTGCAGGGACCTAACCTATTTGGCTTGTGATCAAGTTTAGTAGTCAGTATCTAGGGTCTTTGGTGGTTACTACGGTGATGACTAATTGTACACAAATGTGCTAGACCATAAATTTCCCGTGCTTAATTTCATTCTCTACTATCTTTTGGTTGACCTAGAGTCAGCTAGTCTCCCCTGTAGTATCTGCTTCAGCCCTAGCCTGCAGTCAATGGACTGCCTCTTCCCTGCGTTAGGGGAGGGCTGAACTTCCCTCCTCTCCTCTCGCCTTCCCTCCCTTCCCCTCCCTTCCTCTCCAGTCCTATCCCCTTCCCTCCTCTCCCTTCCTCTGCTACTATCCACCAGGTCTTCTGACCCTGTATTTTCCCTACCACCCCTGTTGCTTGAAGATAGGCCCCAGCCTGGAGCTTGCAAACTGTTTCTCTTTCTTTGGGAACCGAGTTCCCTGCACCATTGTGAGTGTGGGGATGACTATGAGGCAGGGCACACTTCCCTTTTCTGATTTCATTTTGGGTTCCCTCAGCATGCCCACCCAGGCAGGGTAAATGATTTCGACAAAATTAAAGGACTCAGACAAAGAAAGTGAATCAGTTGCAGAAGGAGTGCTTTGTTGGTCTTTCACTTGAGGCAACATTTCATTATGTGGCCCTGGCTGGCCTGCAACTTGCGATGCAGAACAAGCTGGCCTTTCAGCTTGAAATGAAAAGGCTGGCTTACTGTCTGTCACTTTTCTTTGATGATGAAGGGATTGAGCATCTATCTTCCGCCACCTCCCCCTCATTATCACAGCCGATGGCATCAACCTTGTGCTGTGGGCAGATACACATGGAGGACATGCTGGCAGGGTGCTACATCATGTCTCTTCTCTGTGACAGCTAGCTTCACTCTCTGAGCCACTTTCCACATCACAACTCCCTGTCCTTTCTTGGAAAGTCCCTGGTCACTTTGTTCTTTGTCTCTCAGACGTGGGAGTCTGAAAATTGCAGCATGAACTGTGTTTATGTGGCTCTCAATTATATATCAGGTTTAGTTTCACAATAAATATACTGGCCGCACTTTGTCTCTGTGAGAACTGAAACATTTTGTATGCATGTCGTTTGCATTGTTTCTGATTGGCTTCAGAATCAAATGAGGCAAACAGGAAGTGTCACCCTGGAGGCAGCTTCCCTCTTTGCCTTGTGCTCAGAAGAATGGTGATAATGTCGTACCTGGTGCCAACCTCCCCTGAGAAAACTAAGGTCCTCAGAGGTTCCTTTCCTCCACTTGTGTGACCCGTCATGTGTACATGTGATTCCCCTAACATATCTGTGGTTCTCAGTTCCTTTCATAGCATGTACCAGTAACCATGATCAAACAGCTACTGAGGTATCAGTACACGCAAAATAGTCGCTTAGGATTTTCATATTCTCTTTCTGCAGTTCCTCTACCCACACGCTGAAAGTCATCATCTACAGAACCACCTGCTACTGATTTCAGAAGAGAAATGTAAGTATTGCTATGCAGGGGCCCATGTCCACAGTCTCCTAGTGAAGTGTGAACCCTGACTGAATCTGCTCCAATGTCCATTTGAGACCTAGAATTCCCGTGAGAGCTTCTCCTTCCCAAGTCCTTTGCTCAGTCAGTTTCCTTGTCTTGGGAAAGGAATAGTCATGTGTGCATTCATGTCCAGTTTGTCGACTTGTAGAACTATTTGTTTCGTTGAAGATGCGTGTCTGTCAGAGTGGATGACTGTGACCTAAGGGTAGGGGCATGGATGGAGAGAAGGAAGGGAAGGCTTGTCGCTAGAATTCCGGAGCAGATGTAAAGCACACAGTAGCCTGTGTGGGTAATTGTGAGTCTGGAAACACCGTCAGCAGAGGGCAAAGGGTGGGTTTGGAAGGGTCCCGGATCCCTGTGTATGATGGTGCACTTCTTACCCAGGCTACAGCTGTTAGAAATACAGTACTAATGTTTTCCCTGAATGATAAAATCTTTTTTTTTTGTTGGTTTATTTTTAAAGATATTGAGCGGTTTAATATCCAGATCACCAGAGAAGATGGAAACAGAGCGGTAAACACTGAAATCTCTTCTAGAAGGGTTATGTCTCTGGCTTCTAAAGACAGATGAACTCTAATGACACAAGCCATTTTCTTTGGTATCTTTTGAGTGACAGCCTTACTCTTATGACTCGTGAAACAAAACAAAGATGTGTGTTAGTGATCCCCATTCTCTACCTCACACCTGGGGGCCCGGAGTCTATGCAGTCTTGGTTGGCGCGTGTAAGCCTGCCCCACGTTAGATACACATAGGGGAAATCCATCAATTTCATCAAATAGAATCACCATGTGTACAGTTAGTCTCTGCCTTTGTGTTTACCATTTTACCTACTGTAACAAGAGGATGTAGGTTAGCAAGTAGGAACTAATGGCATTTCTCTAATTTTTCTGCATACACACATACAGCAAATAGTTCCACCATTCTCCTTTTGTGGGGCATGTTTATTAGCCTGTGTTTGTTCCACTTCTCTCCACTTCTGACAAACCCTGCTTGGGTTTATTACTAACTCGTGTGTGTAATCATCTAAAAGCCAGCTAGAGTAGCTTCAGTTTATTTCCTGAGACACCAGTTTCAGGCATGGTGTCTGTGATGCTTTCGTCATTCTGCTGTGTTCGGACATTTACATGTTGGTGCCTTTATGTCTTTGGCCTAAATCCTTAGATCTGGATGACTAGGTTGGAGGGATATGCTTTAATAAGTTTCAGGAGGGTTTGCTAATTGATTCCCCAAAACTAGTTTTACAAGCAAAGTATGAAAATGTCAGGTAAATTTACCTTTAACATTTCCCAGTTTCATGGATGTGAACTGCCATCTTAGTCTGTATTTCTTTTACTGTTTATTGAATTTGGACACCTTCTCTGTTTACTGGCTACTTAAATTTGCTGTTAGGAGAATTTATTGATTACATCCTTGTCTATTTTTTTTTAACTTGGTTACTTTTCCTTGACGATTCTTATGGGCTCTGAATATATATATAGATGATAAAATGGTTTTATTCAATATTCAGTCTATATAAATAACCTTTAATTTTTACACTTATTTGTGATTTTTGGTGTGTGTGCATGTGTGTGTGAGCGTATATAAGTATGTGTGTGCATGTATGTGCTTGCACATGAGAGTCTATTCGTGTGTGTATGCATGCATGTATGCATATGTGTGCTTGTGTGTGTGTGTGTGTGTGTGTGTGTGTGTGTGTGTGTGCCTGCCATGGGGTGAGTATGGAGGTCAGAGGTCTTTTACCCTGTGGATTCCAGGGATCAAACAGGCTATAAAGGTTGGTGGCAGGTACCTTAACCCAACAGCCCTCAAAATAATCTCTCTCTGAGAGTGTTGTTTCTTTGAAGACTTTAAGATTATATGAACAAGACTGAAATGGGAGGCAACATTTACTAACCATGTAGCTGCTATTAAAAACCTCAAACCAGAAAATGGGCTGGAAACTGAGCAGGGCTGTGTGGGTGTGGCTCTGGCTGCTGGTGACCCACAGAAGAGGGGCTGTGTTTAGATCCCAACCGCAGCTATGAGAACTTGGAGGAGGCTGTTAAGCACACATATTAGATGGGATTGAGCAGGAGCTGAAGAATGGGTTGAAAGATTGGGAGCCCAACAGTGCTTCGGGGAGAGTGAGAGGAGAGGCTCCGTTCAGCTGCCCAGACAGCATCCTGCTGGCCAAGATGGCCCAGCTTTAATGTTTCTCCATCTGCTGGTGAAGGCACCACTTCTGCCTACATTCTAGAAGGCTTTGGTAACAGTTTCCTATAAGGGTGTGCAATTCCACCTGTTCACCATAACATCCTTAAGTGACACAGTGGGCACTGTAGCACCATCTCCTAGCAGAAAGAAACATATGTGAGGTCACCCCAAAGGGGCACAATGGATATTTTAACATGGTCATAGCAGAATCTGATGCTCATCTTGCTGTCACATGGTTTTGGCTGAAAAGATTCCTAAGTCTGTTTCCCCAAACCAGAATTCATACACATAGAAACGGGCGATTTAGAGGATATGGAGGTGCTCTGGGACCCTCAGCATCACTTCCCATGCCCAATGGTGACAGACCCAGATGAGCAAGAAATAGAGCTGTGTGGGTCCTATGCTTTGTACCGGCCTCAAGTTCCCACTAGCACTGGAGAAGTTTATTTGGGTTAGAGAGGGTTCAGGCATGAATCAGTACCGTCATAATGCTCCTCTCCTGGTCCAGCTCAGGGCTGAGTTTTTGTTTTGTCGTTTGGTGATTGCTTGGTAGGCATTTTGAGGAGAATGACTTGGGCCTGGAATTTCACATGCTAAGCACAGATAGGCCACATGCTAAGCCACTGAGTCATAACCCTTGCCCTTAGAAAGTAAACCCTGATTTTTTTTCCTTTTTTTAGTTAGGGTCTTGTTATGTCTCTCAGTCTGACCTGGACAAAAGCCCTCTAGGAACACTAGGAACACAGAGCCAGGAAACTTTGCTTTGGTATAGGAATTCTGAGGTGAGACTTTGCTCAAGAGGCAAAATCCGAGTCAGATCTTGAAGGGTGAGAGTCGAGTGTTGCTGGTGGATGGGCAGTGCCATCACCCTTGTGGAATGCATAAAGGAAAGACCATGACCAAAGGCACCGGCTGGTGAATGGCTCCGCTGGGCCGTTACAGTGCTCTCCGTGTTAGGCCTGAGTGTGTCGTTGGCATCATGAACCTTTGTTTTTGAAAGTGAAGTTTTTTTGTGTGTCTAGAGACGGGACCAAAGGGGTATGATTACAACAGGAAGTATACATGCTCTGTTAGTACAGATGTGTGTGGAAGGTGTGGCCTCTGCTGACCTGTCTGCTAAGCTAAGAAGAATAGAGCACAGAGCATTGGGAAAGAGGCCATGATGCCTTAAACATGTTATAAAAAAAAACAAAAACGTTTATGTTGTGGAATGTGGGGAGGTGCTGGTAATAAAGTAGGTGTGATTAATGTATCATAGGGTAGGCTATGCATAAGCAATGACTTAAGATGCCATTTTGAAAGCACTTACTTATAAAATCATTTTCCCCCTAGGTAATCAGAAATTCTAGCCATCTTCCAAAAGACAGAATAGCTGAAGATTTTGCTTGGGCTCAGTGGGATATGTCAGAGCAGAGATTATACTACATTGAACTGGAGGTAAGAACTAGCCCATGGGTACCCGTTTCTATAGAAACAATATAATTGCCATCATTGCCATGTCTTAAAAATGTTTGATACTTATTTTATTTTATGCAATGGATGTTCCACTTGCATGCATGTCTATGCACCATGTAGGTGCAGTGCTTGCAGAGGCTAGAAGAGGGTGTTGGATCTTCTGGGACTGAGTTACAGGTAGTTGTGGGTCACCATGTGTGTGCCAGGAATCTAATCCAGGTCCTCTGGAAGAGCAGCCAGTGTTCTTACCCATAGAGGCGTCTCTCCAGCCCCTGCTATAGACTTTTTAATGACCATGTTATCACTAATGGGAACAACCAATGAAGGTTTATTACAGACAGCAAACAGGTTTTGTTTTTACTGCCTCTACTTTTTCTCTTCAGCTTGTTTGTTTTTGGAAATAAGATGCCAAGCATTTTCTTTTCTAGAAGTCAAAGAGTGTCTTGAGATGCATCCAGTTTTGGCCAGATGAGAGCTTTACTTTAATGGTGAGTACATAGAATGCTCCGTCCCATGAAATTTTACTGGAGTTGAAATCACATGTAAAATTTCTGGCATTTTGATATTGTGCCAGCCATTTGTGTATCAAATAACTTGGTTTCTGCTGCTTTGAGCCGCAGCTCTCTGACAAATGCAAGGTTGATTCAGGTAAAGAGGACGGCATGAATCTGAGTGTGTTTTTATTTATTTATTTTATTTAAATTCTTTAATTACTACTCATATTTACATATCCATTCCCCCATTCCCTTGCTCTCCCATCCTCCCATGTTCCCCACCAAACCCCCAACCCATCCCCCAACTCTTCCCCAGGGATCATGAGGCCCTCCACCAGGGATCTTCAAAGTCTGTCATATCATTTGGGGGGAGGGCCTAGGCCCTCCTTGCTGTATCTAGGCTGTAATAGTATCCTTCCATAGGGAATGGGCTCCCAAAGTCCATTTGTGCTCTAGGAATAAAGACTGGCTCCACAGTTAGAGGACCCATAGACTGTCTTGGCTTCCTAGCTGGCACCCACATTCAGACAGTTTGGTTCAGTCGACCCTAGTCATAAAGCTGGGGAAACAGCATTGGACTGAAGTGTGTTTTTAAAGCAGCTGCCTTAAAAGGGGCTTAGAGGAATGTAATTTGACTCAAAAGGAATCATGACTAGAATGGGTTGGAGGATGAGGAAGGGAGTCACAGTGTACAGTTTAATAAGTGTCTAGCACCATCATTGTCTATCTATGGGAAGGCCCTGCATATGTCTTTATCATTGTCTGTCTATGGGAAGGCCCTGCGTATGTCTTTATCATTGTCTGTCTATGGGAAGGCCCTGCATATGTCTTTATCTGGGATGGGCAGTCTTTCCTTCCTTTCTCAGGACCAGTATTGGTAGCACATACACATTGGTTTCACACTATTACAAGACTTTCTTATCATTTCCTGCCCCCTTTTTAGCTCACCCACTCCACAAGACATCCTAGGCTTCCTTCCTTCTATGGCTGTCTGTCTTGTGAAAAGTTGTGGCTGTCAACAGTCCTACTACACAATCTGTTTGTGATACTCATTTAAGGCAGCGTTAGCGTCATAGGAAAGAAGGATGTACTCAGTGTGTCTGTAAACTCCAGGATATTCTGGTAGACTCCCTGCCCTGTGGGCTTTTTATCACCAGGCCAGCTGAGCACGGCCAGCTTTCTTTGCATTTCACAGCTGTTATCATGTAATGCCGTTTTTTTACTGAAATATTTTTGAGGTTATAATATAGTTAAAAAATTTCTCCCTTCCCTTTCCTCCCTCTAAGCCCTACCCATACCCCTCCCCATTCTGCTCACAATTCATGGCCTCTTCTTTCATTGATTATTATTGTGTGCATACATGAATATGTATATACATATCTATAATGTTACTTATTGTATGAATGGATATATGGATATGTTATACATGTCTGTGTAATGTTACTTATATGAATATATGCATATGAATATACATGTTTGTGTAATGTTACTTATTGTATGAATATATGCATATGTATGTACATGTCTGTGTAATGTTACTTGTATGAATATATGTATATGTGTATACATGTCTATGTAATATTACTGATTGTATGTATATATGAATATGTATATACATGTTTGTGTAATGTTATTTATTGTATGAATATGTGGGTACATATAGATATGTTTGTATGTTATTGTATGCATATATAGATCTCTCTATATATGTCTGTATAACATTATTTATATAATTTTATGGCTGACTATTTGTCACTGGACAATCAGTTGGTGAGCTCTTGTCTGTGAAAGACCTATAATGTCATTTTTAATGTTGATCTTCTCCTTATTTTTTGACAGTTTGAAATGCCCTTGGACATATCATTGAGTGGCTTAAGATTTAAGTAAGTTATCCATAGAGTGTTAAATTTCATAGACATTTATAGGTAGCAAAATGATGACATCTTTTCCTAATTGTAATAGGTAGATACTGGGATGGTCTGATATTTTATGTGTCTATTTTAAGATTTATTTATTTTTATTTTATGTGTGTGGGTGTTTAGCCTGCATATATGTCTGTGCACCACACATGTACAGTGTTTGCAGAGGCCAAAAAAGGGCATTGGATCCTCTAGACCTGGAGTCACAGAAGGTTTTGAGCTGCCATGTGGGTGCTGGCATCAAACCCGGGTCTGCTAGAAGAGCAGACGGTGATCTTAATTGCTGACCCATCTGCCTAGCCCCATGTGGATCTGTTATTAATATTTCCATTCTTTACAGAATATAAGCTGTTTTATCAGTGGATAGAGGAATACATGTATAAAGTCAACAGTGTTGATTTCTGTAGGGCACCTGCTTTTATTTTGATGTGTGGAAGTGCTTGCCTCCTTTTGACTAAACAGAAGGTTCTTTTTTTTTTGGTTTTTCGAGACAAGGTTTCTCTATGTGGCTTTGGAGCCTATCCTGGCACTTACTCTGGAGACCATGCTGGCCTCGAACTCACAGAGATCTTCCTGCCTCTGCCTCCCGAGTGCTGGGATTAAAGGCCTGCGACACCAACATCTGGCTCTAAACAGAAGGTTCTATGAGTCAGCAGGAACGCATTTAGTTCAAACATCAAAAGGCTTTCTTACTGCCAACAGGAGGTCACAGTTCAAACCACTTGCAACTCAGCCCACTTTCTTGCTTTATGTTTTCTGTTTCCCTCTTTACATGAAAGGCAAGATTTTTCTTTTTCACTGAGTTTTTTTATATGTGGTTAAAAAGCTACAGTTTTTTTAAAAAATTAAATAAAACAGAGTACCTCAAAGGCCAGAAGAAAAGAAATTCTTCTAAATTAGAGTAATGTTAGTCCAAAGCTGTTCAATATTTCACCATCTTTAATTAAACATATATGGATATTTAATTGTGCCTATTTTGAACATATATATGTATATTTTAGATAATATTTGCTATAAATCACAAATATTATAGAAACATATGTTATACGTAATAAAATTTTCTGTCTATTGCCGGGCCCATGTCTTTTATGTATTATGTATATTTTTAATCACTGTTTTATATTTTTAAACAAAAATTGTCTGCTGAGATGTATCAGAAACATTTTTCTGCCTCTGTGAGTGTGTTGTGGTAGTTATAGCATGTATAAGGAGAGTACCTCTTTAAATGCGTTCAGTGATTTCTTTTCCTTTACCATCTTAGATTTGTCAACTTTGGATATGATTATCATCAAGACCAAGAAAAGTTATGCAACCAGCCTTCTCTGTGCGTTTTTACCAACCACACAGGTAGAATCAGGGTCATCCTTATCAATTTTTATTAACTTGAGTTCTATACAAATTGCAGTTATTGTTCAACTATGTGAAGCCTGAAAATGAAAAATAGCAGCCACATTATTTAAAAAATCAATCAAATGGATATTATATGCACATTTATATGTGAAATTGTCTCCTCCACTGTAATTTTACGCCTTTGTCACTAAGCAGGGAACTTAGGGTTAACACCCAATGGCATACAGTGAGTGACACCTCTGCCCTTCCCCTATTATTTAATACATATTTGTATTAATGAGAAATGTCACCACCAACAGGGTTATTGTTATAATAGGTTTTACCAATGCTGTTCTAATAGAGCGGGTGGATTTATATTTATTCAAAGCATACTTTCCCACAGGAAATGCTTTCTATGTCTGCCTTACTGAAGTGCTGGGTTCTAATTATTTATTTTTACATTGTTTTGCATGTGTTGTATGTCTGTGGGCACATGTGTGCTGTTGCATGCATGCATGTGGAAGCCAGAGGACAAATTGTGGGAGGGAATTCTTTCACCATGTGGGATCCTGTTACGATAAATCTTTCCGCCAGAAGCCGCCCGAGCCCTACCACCACATGTGCGGTCTCCGCCAGCCGCCTGAGTTCTGCCCGCTGAGTTAGGGCCCAAATTAATGCACAGAGACTTATATTAGGTACAAATGCTGCTTGGCCAATGACTAGGATTCTCATCTGTTAGCTCAGTCTTAATTATCATAAATGTATATATTTTATATATAAGACTTATTTTATATAAGATTGGTGTCCTCACTTGCCGGTGGATCACATCCTGCCACTGGAGGAAGAGCGGAGGGGAAAAGGGGCCACTTCCTGCTTGTCCTTCCTTAAAAATGAGTCTCCCTGCTATGTCACTTCCTACCTGGATCACCACTTCTCTACTACATTTCCCAGAATCCTCTTTGACTCCTAGTCCCGTCTAACTTGCTGCCTCATTGGCCAAACAGTACTTTATTCAACAATCAATGAGATGAACATACACAGAAGTACATTCCCCATTAGGATCCAAGATTGGGTTTATGTCATCAGGCTTGGTGGCAAGCACTTTTACCCATGAAGCCATCTCATTAGCCCATGTTTGGGATATAAGCCCATGTACCTGGACACAAATGCTGTGTGATGGGCTGCTGTTCTGTGTACCTGGACATAAATGCTGTGTGATAGTCTGCTGTCCTGTGTACCTGGACACAAATGCTGTGTGATGGGCTGCCATTCTATAATTCAGAGCTTGACATGTACCTATTTATATAGAGAACATGGAGAGGAGAGGGGGACCTAAAATGAAAGAAGAAAAATACGATTATATGTAATCAATCTTTTGAGAAAGCATATCAAGTTCAATAAACATCTAAATCAACCCTGAAAAACAAAGCATAATAGCCATTTTTAATACACCATTCTGAGAAGATATTTACTTCTTGGGTAACATTTGAATTAAAATCATATTCTCCTTGTAAATATTTAAAATTATTTAAAGCAAAAATGTGTTATTCATGCATAAATCTAACATTTATTGAGCAGTGTGTGTGTGTGTGTGTGTGTCTGTGTGTCTGTGTGTGTGTGTATGTGGGTGCAGGTGCTTGTGGAGGCCGGAAGAGGGCATTGAATCCCTGGAATGAGAGTTACAGGAGATTGTGAAGCATCCAGTGAGGATACTGGGAACCACACTTTGATTTTGATCCTTTGCAAAAGCAGTTAACTGCTCTCAAACACACTTATCTGCTGAGTGGTCTCTCTAGCCTCCTATACTAAGTTTTGGCAACACAGTGATGAGCAAACATGGCCTGACCTTTAGTAGAAATTACTGTTGGTGATATTTCATAAGTGTATATATAACATTCAAATATAATCATGATAAATACTATGAATGAGAATTACAGGAAGCTAGGAGAGCATAGGGTGAGCATTTTATGGAAGATGGTAGAGGTCTCGAATTTGCTCTAGCTTAATAGGTCCATCTCTGTTTCTCCTTCTCTCCCAGTCATTCCATCCCAGTCTCCTTTACTCCTGAAAAGTACTCTTTTCCCTACCACATTCCTTCACAATCTATCCCATTGTTTGTCCTGTCAGTCCTTGTCTTCCTTAGCTACACGTGCCCCTCCATCAACCAGACCTGGTGAATTCAAAGAATGTGATAGTTCAACTGGAAACCATTTATGGATGAACATTTCCCACTGTGAGTGATGTACAGTGAGCAGGGGTGGGGAGGAGAGGGACTGAGAGAGGGAAGTGACAATGTTGGCAGGGCTAGATGAGGCAGGGCCTTGCAGAACATAAAAGCTTTTAGATTTTATTATAAGATTTATGAAAAGTCATAGAAGATTTTTTCTTATCACAATTATTTTCATAATGCTCAAGCATATAAAATAATAAAAATATAATGAATGCTTACATCTTATTTAATCATATAATTTTCAATATATCGTTTATCATCCTTTCCTTATATGAGTAAACTAAGATCAAATTGTAGATGGGTTGGTGATACACACCTGTTATCTCAGCACTCAAGCAGCTGAGGAAGATGGGTTGTGAGTTTAAAGTCAGCTTGGGCTCAATAGTGAGGCTCTGTGTCAAAAATAAAAGGTAATGTTCAGAACCTACACATTTGACTACAAAGTAATTTAGTGTGTATCACTTTAGACATTCTTTCAAATAACCCCTGTTCCATTATCCTTAAGAGAAATTAATTGCATTCATCAATACACTTTATCTGTGGTGTCTTTTAATGTACAACTTCCTTTATACTTCTGTCCTGACTGCTTTTTCACAAATTGGATACATTGAGGAACTCTTTCCCTTAAAAAGTGGCCCACATTCTGGATTTAATTCCTTGTTTCCAGACGGAAGCCTTAGAATTTTCCCACTATTCTCTGTGCCTCCTATAAAACACAAGTTACACCCAGTGGCATAGTTAGACATAGGTTAAGTTTTTGTGAGACTCCTTCACAGTGGTGTTATGAAGTTCATTCACATGAGAGCAGGAGACAGTGAATGGGGGTGCTGAACCTCCTCCTTCCTGCTCTCACGATGGCAAGTTCTCAGAAGTAGGACAGGGTTGGAGGATTTTATAGAGCCCTATAAAATGAGATAATTATCCAATGAGACTATTTCCTTGGAAAACTTGTCTAATAGTTTTCATTGTCTAAATGGTTCCCAAAGGTGAGCTAATGTGGAGATGTTACCTTTATCATTGATGAATATTTACTAAAAGTCTCTGGATATTGCATTAAGAGCATATTTTGTTATTTCAAACTGTGACTTCCTCCAACTTATAAATAGCAGCCAAATCATTCTGGAATAATAATAATAATAATAATAATAATAATAATAATAATAATAATAATAATATAATAACAGCAGCTAACATTTAGGATTTTTGCCAGAGATTTATATATATTATTTGATTCTCATAGAAAAACCTTATGAAATAGTTTCTATATTTTTAAATGTACAGATGAGGAGACTGAGATTTAGAGAACTAAGTTGCTAAAGGCAGTGTGCTCTATAAACCAAGAGCCTGAAAGACAGAGAGCCAAGGACCGAGGCAAAGCCAGCTTACTGTGCCAGCCAGGGCTGTGCTGTAAAACACTGTTAACAAAACAGAGCAAAACAGGATAGGCATGACCAGCCTGGAAAGTTTATTTCAGAAGCTGAAAGACCTTAAAATCTGAGAAGCTTGTGGTTCAGGCATTTTTGATGAGGGATTCTCAAACAGGATCAATTTCATCACAATGTCTTCACTTGTAGGTAACCGACATTAGTAGCAGCGACTAGAGGTAATCCAGAGTTTTACATATTGAGAAAGATGGAGAAGCTAGTGAAGGCAGGGCAGGTCATACTAGATGCTGACCTTCTATGTGGGCCAAAGCTGTCAGGGACCCAGTACTATGAGTATGGTCTCATATATTGCATTTGCTCTCATTGCTCATAGGAAAGGAACATAGTTTGCATTTCAATCTTGCTTTGAACACAGTTTGGATAGCTGGGAAGCAATGGCTGGTGGTGGTGGTGGGGACAGCCAGGTAAGGTGACAGAGTATTCAACACTCACCAGAGCTCTAAGAAGGCGGGGTCTTTTCTAGACCCCTGAAGCTTCCCATACAGGGACTGTGTGCCCGCCCTTCATAGCCTGTCCATAACAGTGGGTGATAAATGCTGACTTGAAATTTCATAGCAACTTATTAATACCACTTTGTGAATTTAGGATTAATCTAAGGTGGGGAAGGTGAATAATGGCCCGTGAAATTTACTATGCAGATTATTCAAATGTTATTAAATTAACCTTCTCTTCTTTCAGGCAGTTTGTGTGTGTGCTACAGCCCAAAGTTTGACTCTGGGGAAGAAATCACATATTCAGTGTTTTACCTTCATAAAGGTACTTTTTAGCTTATTCTCTGTTACTTTTACATTTTGCCTTTTCCAAATAGTAGGAAATTAGATGGACTGCAAGCATCTTAACACTTAGCAAACAGTTTTATCATTGTATTTTGTGATTAGCTGTATGGCTATGTTTTATGAAGGAATTCATTAATGGTATGTAGTCAGATAGGTAACTGTTGTACAAATGTTTAATACCAGCATGTGGCTTGTTCCAGACTACAGGCCATTTCTAGTGGATGTTGGTTTGCTATTTAGTTATCACTAAACGGGACTTTATGCTTTTAATTCACATGGTTACATAGAGATTTAGTTAAAATCTTCTTTTATCTCAAATGTAAACGTTCCAGAATCTGCTATGCCATCAAACTAAGGTATTTATTTCATTTCACATGTCTATGGCCTGCGATGCAGGCACGCGACATTCTGGGGAGTGGGATGAAGTGTCAGCCTCTGCCACTTCTGCGGTCACATAGCTTGCCTGGCAACAGTTTCAGTTTGAACCGTGCTAAGGAGGATTTTGGCTTGGTTGTTTAATTCCTTACGAATCTATATTTGTGCCAGACACAGTAGTGCACACCTTTAGCTTTAGTACTCGGGAGGCAGAGGCAGGCAGATCTCTGAGTTCAAGGCTATCCTGGCTTACACAGCAAGTTGCAGGCCAGCCGTGGCTACATAGGGAGACCATGTCTCCAAAAAACATTTTTTTATATATATTTGCAGAGAACATGTTATGAGTGTGACTGAAACTTTTTTAAAGATGAAATTCCTGTTCTAGTAGTCAATTTCTTTTATGCCAAGCCACATAAAAGTCTACAATCCCAAGTAGAGCCTGATGTTACTGGGGTGTTAGAGGTCAGGGCAGAAACGTTTAAGAACTTTTTAATGGAAGAACTGAAAGAAACTTCAGAACTACATGTAGACATATTCTTAAGTAGTGTGAGCTTATACAGGACATTTTTTGTGTGTTTCTAATAATCAGTGTAATGATTCCAATCAGCACACAGACTGACTGAGTTAGAAGACTAGAGTGAAGTCCAACACAGAGTTTCATAGGCAGCTTAATCTTCCTTCTAGCTAAACATGGGGCTGTGAGCTGGAGAAATCTTAGAGGCTTGGTAAAAACTGTAATGTGTAGAAATGACCCCAAGACCCCCCCCCACCTTAGCTCATTGAATAGACTCCCATTGGACTCTCCCCTCCCTACACAATCCAAGTCTGGGTTTTTGCCTGAGCTGGGTCATCTGCTCCACTGTGACCACTCTCAGATGGTTCATGTTAGTAGCTTTTGGAGACTGAGGGCACCATGAATTCTAGAAGCCAGCAGGCACTTGCCCTGACTATTACACAGTGTGAGGCCAATACTAGCCTTGTTTCTTAACAAGACTTCATGTTCTTCATCTGCAGGGTACAGAAAGACCTTCACTTCTGCTCCTGGGAGTGCCGGCTCACACGTGACAAAGGGAATTACTTTTCTCAACCTTGGTGGGTATCCATGGTAAACATGACCAAAAACAACCTGGGGGAAAGACTTGATTTCAGCTTACACTTGAAGCAACAGTCTATCATCACTGAGGGAAGTCAGACAAGAACTTAAGCAGAAACTGAAGAAACCATGGCGGAATGCTGCCTGCTTGCTGGCTAGCTCTCACTCTTGTTTTCTCCCTCTTCTGGGTCATGTTCTCCATGCTTTCTTATATCTCTCAGGCCAGCTTGCCTAGGGGATGCACCTGCCACAGTGGACTGGGCCTCCCACACCGATTAATCAGGAAAATGCCCCACAGAAGACTTACCCACAGGTCAATTTGATCTAGGCTATTCTTTAGTTTCCTCTTTCCAGGTGACTCTACTTTGTGTCAAGTTGGCAATAAAACCAACTGGCCCAGTGGTTATGGTGATGGACCTCTCTCTACTGTGTTCTAGCACAGTGGTTATGGTGATGGACCTCTCTCTACTCTGTTCTTTCAACATATGCTCTTCCCCAGACTTCACTCATTTTTTTCCTCCATGACTCCATTTTCTCATACCTCTGAGACATGGCTTGTGGTGACAGTCACCAACCCTTTTAAGTATGAGGGGACAAAGTTTCTCTAGCATGTGCCCCCTTATTCAACTCATCAGCTTTTGGGGTTGAAGTGTGTCTTCCTTTTTTAGAGATCCCAGGCTGTGAGCTTGATTGGAAGCAGTCCTTAGAAAGCATTTGTTACTATACAAATGACCATGAATAAGATGTCCCCTTAGAGCCGGGAGAAATCAGAAATCATGTTGGCCCTAGATTCTAGAGGAAGAAAGGTCTTTAGACAATTGTCTGTTCCCTCACATTAATCATAAAAGGCTTACAAAGGCCCCATTAATGATTTATGGACCACTTCAGTGAATTGTGTTCTCTAAGTAAATATGGCAAAGGGAAACTTAGTATTAGATTTGAGCGTATTGTGGAATTCTGTGTAGTAAGGACAGTGTGTAAAGGTTTACTGCGGCTCCACACTGAAAGTGGAAGGTGAGGTCCAAAGCATAAGTGATTGGTGATAGCCCTGGGACACGCTTACATATGGGAAGGGCACATCATTTAATGGGGGAAGCTCTGTGTTTACAGCACACAGCTCTTTGCTATGTTTTCCTATCCCTGCTTGCCAGTCCATCTGCTTCAGTGACAAAGGTTTGACCAAGTGTTGTGTGAGAGAACTGGGAGAAGTGAGAACTAAAAATAAGCCCCCAATTTTTATTCTGAATGATTCTGTTGGTGAGGGTAAGTCTCTTTTGCTATGTGGGCCAGCACATGGCACATTTTGACACGATATTGGACCTGTGGGGAAGGGCCTTGGACAGCCTGGCTCTGCTGCTTCTTGATGCGGGGGAGAGAGAGTCTAGCCATGGCTCCCATCAGCAGTGCTGCATCAATGTCCGTCTCAACAGTAATGGGGACCTATCCACTAACCACGCTCTTCCTTTCCTCCTCCTGGGAATTGTTAGAAAGGACAGCATGATTCAGTCCATGGTCTTGCAGAGGGCAAAAGTACCAGAGTTTATAAACAGTTTGTGTCTACACATGCATGACTTATTAACAGGTATAAGGTTGTATCTAAGATTTAAACCATTCTTTTTTTTCACTTTTTATTATTATTATTATTATTATTATTATTATTATTATTATTATTATTAATTCAAGTTAGGGAACAGGCTTGTTTCACATGTAATTCCCCTCTCCTTCTCCCTCCTCTCACCCCCATTCCTTCTCCCCCACCTCCAACCTACCCCCCACCCCATCCACCCACCACTCCCCCGGCAGGGTAGGGCCCCCAACAGGGGCTCCACCAAGTCCACCAAATCTTCCTGTCCCCTCCCCAGGTGTCCAGAGGCAGAGCACATCCCTTCAAGTACGATGGGCTCTCAAAGTCCCTCCACACACACCAGGGCAAAACGCCAGTCCACCTCCAGGTGCTCCCAGGAGTGCAGGGGCCTCCCCATTGGCATCCATGATCAGGGGGCTGGGTCAGTCCCATACTGGCCTCCAAAAGAGCGTCTGGGGTGGATATGCTTTCCCTTTTTCAGGCCAACTGTTTCTGTGGGTTTCTCCAACCTGGTACAGACCCCTTCGTTCTTCATTCCTCCCTCTCTTCAACTAGCTTCCAGATTTCAGCTCAGTGTATTTCTGTGGATGTCTGTCTCTGCTTCCATCTGCCACTGGATGAGGACTCTAGGATAGCATAGAGAGTAGTCATCAATCTCATTCTAGGGTAAGGGCTTCTAGGCCATCCTCTCCTCCACTGCCCGGACTGTCAGATCGTGTCATCCTTGTAGGTCTCTGGAGATATCCCTAGTTCCAGATCTCTTCTCGGACCTATAGTGGCTCCCTCTGATATGGTATCTCTCATCCTGCTTTCTCTCCTCTACTCTTCTCCCAACTCAATATCTCTGCTCCTCCATTTCTTCTCCTCTACTCTTCTTCTTGTGCTCTTATTGTGGCAGCACCTACTTCC